AGTCCATGGGACAATGCTCAATCCACTGAGCCACACTGGCCAGACAGTACCATACTGTTTTGATTGCTGTAGCTTTGTGATACAGTTTGAAATCAGGAAGCATGGTGCCTCTAGCTTATTCTTTCTCAAGATTGCTGTGGCTAATCGGGGTCTTTCGTGGTTCCATACAAAGTTCTAGATTGGCCCTGGCTGGTTTGGCTCAGCGGTTAGAGCGTTGGCCCACGAACCAGAGAGTCCCGGGTTTAGTTCCTGCTAAGGGCACATACCTCGGTTACAGTTTGTTCCTGGCCCAGGTTGGGGTTGTCTGGGTGACAAACAATTGATGTGTCTCTCTCATGTCATTTTTTTCTCTCTCTCTTCCCCCCATCTCTCCCTCCAGCTATGTCTAAAGATAAATGCAAAAAATGTCCTCAGGTAGGGATAAAATAAAATTAAATTAAAAATTTCAAGATTGTTGGTTCTATTTCTGTTGAAAATGACTTTGGAATTCTGATAGCCATTTCATTGAATCTGTAGATTGCTTTGAGTAGTATGGCCATTTTAACAGTATTCGTCTGATCCAGGAGTGTGAAATATCTTCCATTTCTTTATGTGTCTTCAGTTCCTCAGAGGGCAGGCTTAGTTTCTGAATGATAGGAGCATGCCTCTGACCTGGGTTTTCATGATAGCTTAACTGTTTCTCTCCCGACCAGCCTCGACTCTAGTGCCATTTTGTTATTGGGGTAACATTTCTAAAATTGCAAATATAACTGTCACTCTTGTGCTTGCAACTTTCAGTGCTTCCCACTGCCTTCTAGGTACAGGACAGACTTTCTTTTATAGCAGACAGCTGACCTTCAGCCTTCTTCCTGGCTCTCCCTTCCTCAGCCTTGTGCGTCGGTGATACTGAACTACTTAACATTTGTGATTATGCAGTGCTGTTCCAAGTCTGTGCCTTTTGATGTGCTGTTTTATCTCCCGCTTTTTTGACTCCAACTCCTTCAAGATTTAGCTCTCATCGTCATTTGAAATTCTGTCTGATCTTCCCAAGCAAAATAACTTTCCTTCGTTATTGAGACTATTAATGATATAGTATGATCATTTGGAGAAATGGACTGTTTCTTTTTCTTTTTTTCAATCTTCACATTGCCTACAACCTATTACACAGTAAACACTCAAAAGTTTAAATAGTGGCTCATGTCTGAAAGATTGACCCAAGATTTACTTAGTTGTATATTTATGTTTCGTTTTTAAACTGTTTGTTTGTTTGTTTGGCCCTGGCCAGGTACTCAGTTGGTTAGTGATATCCCATGCACCACAGTTGTGGGTTTGAGCCCTGCTCAGGGCACATGTGCTAGAATCAACCAATCAAGTCGATGTCTCTCTCTTACTCTCTCACCACCCTCTCTCCCTCCCTCCCTCTTTTCCCTTCTATCTATAAAAAAATCAAAATTTTTTTAAATAATAAAAAAATTATTTTTCCTGATTATAAAAATATGAAAACATATGAAAGTAATACATATTTGGTGTTGCAAACTTGACAAAAAAATAAAAAAGTTAAAAGAATATGATGTCATTCAACTATTTCCAACACGTTTGGTGTATTTCTTCCTAGTCATTTTTTTCCTTCTGTGTATATATCTGTTGCTGATTTATAGAATTGAGGTTTAACATCAAGTTCAATAGGAGTTTTGGCCACCCAGGGAAAGTATAGAAATAATCACCTATTTCAAAGATAGGAAAATGGAATCTTTTATTTCTTTTTTTCTTTATTGATTTGAGAGGGAGAGAGATACATCAATGAGAGAGAACATCAATTGGCCACCTCCTGCATGTCCCCCACTAGGGATCAGGCCACAACCTTGGGTATGTGCCCTGACCAGGAATTGAACTGGTGACCTCTTGGTGCATGGGTTGATGCTCAACTACTGAGCCATACAAGCCTGGCAGAAAAATGGAATCTTTTTTTTTGTTTATCCTAACCCGAGGACATTTTTGCATTTATCTTCAGATAGGGAGGAAGAGAGAAAGAGAAACATTGATGTGAGAGAGACACATTGAGTGGCTGCCACCTGCATGACCCCAACCAGGGCCGGGGACAGCTGCAACCAAGGCATGTGCCCTTAGTGGGAACCGAACCCAGGACTCTCTGGTCCACCGCAGACGGACACTCTAACCACTGAGCCAAACCGGCCAGGGCGGAAAATGGAATCTTATAAAGGGGAGTTCACTTTGTGTTCCCACTGGTGGTGATAAAGCTGTATTTTGCTGAGCAGAGAAACTGTGCTGTATATATTATTGCTAATCCTCAAATAGCCTGTGAGGTAGGTAGGTATTTTCTCGATTTTAAAGGTTAGGAAAAAATGGCACAAAGTGTGTCTGCAGGATCTGCCCTGAGGATGGAATGTCCCTAGGGCTCCACCAGGTCAGTTAGGAGTGTCCCAGATACTGGAGATGAAGGCACATTAGCTGCATGTAAAGTGACAGACTGCCTGAGGAAACCAGACTCTTACGGTGTTTTTATCTTTTCCAGTAGAGTTTTATTGCTTAGAAACAACCTACAAACCGCTGGCCTAGCTTATTGGGCAAATTTGATTTTGTATTGTTTCCTTAATATGCTGTAAAGTACTTATCTCTTAATTTTTATTTTTTAATCCTCACCTGAGGATATTTTTCCATTGATTTTCAAAGAGAGTGGGAGGGAGGGAGAGAGAGAGAAACATCAATGAGAGAGACACACATCAGTTGGCTGCCTCCTGCACAACCCCACCGGGGCCAAACCTCAACCAAGGTACGTGCCCTTGACTGGAATTCAACCTGAGACTCTTTGGTTTGCAGGCCGACGCTCTAACTGCTGAGCCAAACCGGCCAGAGCTTCTCTCTTAATTCTAATGCATGAAAAAATTTTAGACTATTAAAGCTGTATTTTTTACTTTATGCTCAACAGTAGAATTGGTTCTGATTGACTTGCAGTTCATTACTAAGCACATATTTCTGAGTGTCACTTATATGTCAGGCCACCTGGGTGCGTGCTGGGGACGCAGTGGTTGACAAGGAGGCACGATCCCTGCGTCACCGCCCTGGCGTCACCGTCCAGTGAGTGTGGTCAGTCTGACAGTAGAAAGACGGAAGGAAGTAGGAGAGTGCGAAGCGGACGGAGGAAATCAGGTCGATGTTAGAGGGGGAGCTGGCTGCCCGCTTCCCTCTGAGGAGAAAGCCGCCTGCAGAGGTGGTGTGGAGCTCACCCCAGCCAGCCGAGGAGCCAGGTGGGCACAGGCCCTGGAATCGGAGACCACAGAGACATGAGAAGACAGTAGAATTTAAATGTACATTAAACTTCGGGGGGGGGGGCATAACTTTCTAAACTCAGCCTTTAATAGTAAATAATCACAAAGGAAAAGCTTGTCAGATTAAATAAGAAAATGTATGGACCTTTGAATTGAATTTTTTAAAAATGGCAAACAATTCTGAATAATATTTTTAGTATATAAAATATATACAAAGTTATCTATTAAAAGCTCATACAGATTGCCCAGGCAGGTTTGGCTCAGCGGTTAGAGTTGGAGCAGGTTAGAGTTGAGGGTTCGACCCCCAGCCCCTGTCAGGTCATGCAGGAGGCAGCCAGTTGATGTGTCTGTCTCACATCAGTGTTTCTCTCTCTCTCTCCCTGGCTCCTTCTCTAACCCCTTCCCTCCAACTCTATCTAAAAAAAATCAATGACGGGCCCTGGCTGGATTGGCTCAGCGGTAGAGCGTTGGCCCATGGACCAATGAGTCGCAGGTTCGATTCTGGTCAAGGGCACATACCTCAGTTGCAGTTCGTCCCTGGTCCTGGTCAGGGTCGTGCAGGAGGCAACCAGTTGATGTGTCCCTCTCACATCGATATTTATTTCTCTCTCTCCCTTTCTTTCCCTCTCTCTCCCTCCCACTCTATCTGAAGATAAAAAGAAAAATGTCCTCAGGTGAAAATTTGTTTTTATCCTCACCCCAGGACATTTTTTCCATTTTTTTGTTCAGATAGAGTGGGAGGGAGAGAGAGGAAGAGAAAGAGAGAAACATCGACGTGAAAGGGACACATCAAGTGGCTGCCTCCTGCACGACCCAACCAGGGCTGGGGACAAACTGCAACCGAGGTACGTGCCCTTAGTGGTAACTGAACCCGGGTCTCTCTGGACCAGACCGCAGGCCGATGCTCCAAACGCTGAGCCAAACTGGCCCTCAGGTGAAAATTTAAAAAAAAAAAATCAATGCAGGAAGATCCTCAGATTGAGGATTTAAAAGCGTTCACAGAGTAGCATCAAATTCAGCAGCTAAATGTCAAAGAAGCATGACAAAGCAGTGCCCAGAAAAGGCTATATGATTCCATATACATTACTAGAAATCCAAAGAAACAATTAAATGAGGAATCATTTTTTAATGTAACAAATTAGGTTAACCTTACTTTCTTTTACTAATATCCCATACTGGCATTTTCATAAATTGCTAATGACTCTATAAATTAGTATGACTTGCTTTAGAAAAGCGGTTTGGCATTGTGTACCAAAATCCATATAAAATGTCTGTTTGTTATCCCAGTAATTTCACTTCTGGGAATTTGTTTTAAATAAAAAACAAATCATTAGGGTAAAATAAAGATATTGACACCAAAGCATGCCTCACATGAGTTTAGTAGATACTTGGTTGCACCCAAATGTCTGGCTGGTGCAGAGGAATGCTGGCGAGTCGCCGCCTCTGCACGGTTCCCTCGTGAAGAGGGTGGTAGCGACAGCGCAGCACCTGGAGGGCGCCCTGACGGGCAGACAGTGCAGGCAGAGGGTCTGTGCGCCTCCTGATTGTCCTTTAGATGTGTGTTTGAAAAACTAGACTGAAGGGTATACCAAAATGTTAACAATGGTGTGTTAGTTATGGGATAAAAATTTTAACCGATGTGTCTTAGGAAAAATAAATTGTTCTTTAAAAACTTAGTGAAAACCTAAAGGACAGCAATAAAGAAATGACTCACCTTTTTATCTTTCACAAAAGAGCTTTGAAGGTACAATCGTGTGGGAGAGCCAAGACCTCCAAGGCCTTGTGTCCCGGAATCTCCACAGGGTGGCAGTGAATGATGGAGGAGGGGTCCTCAGAGTCGTCGCAGTAAGTCATTCTTGTTTTTAAGGTGGTTTAGCGTTTTTTAATACATAGAACTTTTTTTTTTTTTTTATCCTCACCCAAGGACATTTGTATTTGTTTTTGTTTTTGTTTTTTGTTCAGATAGAGTGGGAGGGAGGGGGAGAGAGAGAGAAACATTGACGTGAAAGGGACACATTGAGTGGCTGCCACCCGCACCACCCAACCAGGGCCGGGGACAAACTGCAACCGAGGCACATGCCCTTAGCGGTAACCAAACCCGGGTCTCTCTGGACCGCAGGCCGACGCTCTAACCACTGAGCCAACCTGGCCAGGGCCATAGAAGTGTTTTTAAATGTATTTTTACACCAACCCAGACAATATGGAATAATCAGTTTTGTGTGATTTAGAATATGTGTAGTACAAAATGTTGTGTAGTCACTATAATAAAGATTAAAAACTCAAATATTCTATGATTTTGTAGCTCCACTATTAGTAAATACAGGGTGGGGCAAAAGTAGGTTTACAGTTATGAGTCTGCAAAACACAAGAATTTATTCTTGTACTATTATGTATTATTTTCCATATGAACAACTGTAAACCTACCTTTGCCCCACCCTGTAGAGTTTTGCCTTAAGATTGGTGCATTTTAAGTGTGATATTTTATTTCTCTGTAGTATTTAACATCAAGAACACTTGCTTAATAGAATTCAGAATATTCATTGACTCACCTTGATAGGAGGATGTTAATTAAAATACTATAGATGAACCCCCTGGCGATGGGCAAGGAGACGCTTGTTTGGTGGTGTTGCCCTTATATCAGTCAGGCAGGCGACACAGACGCACAGTCCTTAGCTCCTTAGCTCGTCCTAACTTGATGCCTGTGTCGGTGGCCAGAGCTGTGTCATGCCTGGGGCACATTTAAAAAATAAATACATAGCCCTGGCCAGTCTGTCTCAGTGGTTAGAGCATCGGCCCATGGACCGGTGAGTCTGGGGTTCAATTCCGGTCAAGGGCACATACCTCGGTTGCAGTTAGTCCTCGGCCCTGGTCAGATCGTGTGGAGGCAGCCAGTCAGTTTGTTTCTCTCACATCAATGCTTCTCTCTCTCCCCTCTCCCTCTCCCTACCTCCTACTCTATCTGATGATAAACATAAAAATGTCCTCTGGTGAGGATTAAAAATAAATAAATAAATACTATATTGCCCGGCCAATGTGACTCAGAGGATTGAGTGTTGTCCCATGGACTAAGAGGTCTGTTTTGATTCCTGGTCAGGGCACATGCCCGGGTTGCAGGCTCAATTCCCAGTAGGGGGCTTACAGGAGGCAGGCTATCAATGTATCTATCTCACATCGATGTTTCTATCTCTCGCTTCTTTTTTCTCTAAAAAATCAATAAAAACATAATTAATTAATTTATTTTTATCCTCACCGGAGGACATTTTTGCATTCATCTTCAGATGGAGCAGGAGGGAAAGGGGGGGTAAGAGAGAGAGAAACATCAATGTGAGGGGGACACACAACCCCAACCGGAACAGGGACAATCTGCATCCGTGGCATGTACCCTTAGCAGGAACCAAACCCAGGACTCTGGTCTGCAGGTCCATGCTCTAACCACTGAGCAAAACCGGCCAGGGCAATAAAAACATATTTTAAAAATAAAAAATAAATACTGTACCCTTGGCCAGTTTGACTCAGAGATTAGAGCATCGGCACACAGACCAAAGGGTAGAGGGTTCAATTCTGGTCAAGGGCACATGCCTGGGTTGCAGATTCAATCCCTAACCCTGGTCCAGGTTGTGCAGGAGGCAACTAATCAATGTGTTTCTCTCATCAGTGTTTTTCTCTCTCTCTAAAATGAATAAAAACATTTAAAAATAAATAAATGAATACTATAGATGAAAGTATTGAAAATAAGATTGAGTTCGCGCTTGCCAGTTTGGTCAGCAGTAGAGCGTCAGCCCATGGACCAGGGCAGGTGCCTCGGTTGTGGTTCAGTTCCTAGCCCTGGTCAGGGTCATGCAGGAGGCCACCAATCAATGTGTCCCTCTCACAACAATGTTTATCCCCTCCCCCCACTCTATCTGAAGATAAAAACGTAAAAAAGTATCCTTGGGTGAGGATTTAAAAAAAAGACTGAGGTTTCACTTTCACTTATAATGCTGGTATTTCTGCCTCATATTTTTCATTTATTCAGATTTGTTTCCAATTTAAAACAGTTTGACAGGTAAATGTCTCAGTAAACGAATGTAGGACAATAAAGAATGTATGTAACAAATTGATAACTGAGCAAGGAAATGTAATTTAGATTATAAAATCTTGCTTTAATAAAAATTTCTTAAACAGCAGAAAAACATGAGGTATAGACAAACTTAAAATGAGGAGCTCTGTGTGGGGGGTGTCTGTGGTGGGGTCATAGATAGTCCCATTCTCCACAGTGCTCTGACCTAATGACCAGAAAAGCACTTGCATTTCAGTTCACGAGCTTAGTATATGTTCATGAAATATTAACCTTATTCACATTAATTAATTCCTGGATTTGAAACGAGTATCATGTGGGATGTTACCACCCATTCAGAAAACTTGTACTGCACACCACTTGTAAGCCAGGCACAGAAGTGGCAAAATAGGCACATTACTGGCCCCTGGTGGGACTTAAACTCCCATGAAGAAGAAAGACATTAACCAAATAGATCCACAAATTTAGCCTTTTAAATAAACAAAAGTCCGGTAACCTAGTAGCCTACTCTAGCAAACCCCATGTGCACACACAGGTTTTCATCGTAAATGTATTGAGCTGAACATTCTCCTAAGTCTTGCTCCCTTGCCAGCAAGTGATAATGTTAGAAAAATTTAAAAACCAAAAACTAAAAATGTGACCTTTTAGATAGAAGTTAATAAACAGACAGTACTACAGGTATCAACTTCTGAATAAGCCAAAACAATGTAGTGTATACAATAAAAAAGTAAAGAGCATGCAACCTTTTATGGAACTGCAAAGTTGGAATCTATAGCATTCACTTGCCATTTCCTCCACATTCAGCTACAAACCATTTTTTTTTTTTTGATTGATTGATTTTGGAGAGGAAGGGAGAGGGAGAGAGAGATGGAAACAACCATGAGAGAGAACATCGGACTGGCCGCCTCCCGCATGCCCCCACTGGGGATCGAGCCCACGACCTGGGCATGTGCCCTGACCAGGAATCAAACTGGCGACCTCTTGGGGCAGGGTCAACGCTCAACCACTGAGCCACACCGGCCGGCCTACAAACCATATTTTAAATTAAATGACAAGTTATCGCAATCGCCTCAGGACACTGCTAGCCTCGGAACATTGCTTTGTACAGTACAGCTCGCCGAAAGGTCTGTCCAAAGGGGCAGAGGAAGAGCCGGACAGTCGCCCTGGGTAGGTGAGTGCGGAAGTGCCATGAGCAGGCTGCAGCAGCCGGCGGCCCGGCGGCCCCTCGCCACACACAGCTGCATCAGCGCACGCTGAGCAAGGCATTGCGGAGATCTCTAGCAATGAAAGAGCCTCCGGTGCCGAGAGGCAGACAGCACTGCCGTGGGCTGTTGGCGCAGTAGTCTCGAGGCACCTTCACAGCATCAGAAATCATGTTTAGAGGGGTTTTCTTTGCACGGTACCTGACTTGGAACTGTGCCTGGATGTATTTGCACTCGTGATAATTTTCAATCTCCAAAATATGAAAAGGGATCATAATTTTTTTTTAAGTGATGGGATTTACGATGCAAAATAAAATTGGATTTTGTACTATTACTGTAGCAAGTTCAAGAATATATGATTCTAGCCCTGGCCGGTTTGGCTCAGTGGTTAGAGCGTCAGCCCGCGGACCAGAGAGTCCCAGGTTCGGTTCCCACTAAGGGCACGTAACTCGGTTACAGTTTGTCCCCGGCCCTGGTTGGGGTTGTGTGGGTGGCAACCAGTCGATGTGTTCCTCTCACATTGATGTTTCTCTCTCTTTCTTCCTTCCTCTCTCCCTCTTGCTCTATCTGAAGATAAATGCAAAAATGTCCTCAGGTGAGGATAAAAAATAATAATAATAAAAAGAATATATGATTCTGTGTAAATTGGAATTCTGAACACTGTATGGACTGCTGCATGTACCTGATGTGTGACTTTGTAACAAGATAACAAAAACAAGAGGACAGTGATGTCACCCTGATCATACAAATCTAGTGCGCCAGCAGCTTGGGCAGATTTAGCCGCTGTGGAGTCGTATTATAATTCTGCCGATCAGTTTTAATATACAGGAAGTGTATGTCTGTGATGAAACATTGAGCACTTGCGTTCTTGTTTCTTTCAGGCTGGGGAGGGTGCATTGCCTCATGAATTCATGGAAGGCGTGGAGGGAGTTGCTGGTGGTTTTATTTATACTATTCAGGGTAAGTTGGCTGGTTGAAAGTTGAAAAACGTACTGAATTTCATGCACCTACTCTTCTTTATACTTGGACATAAAAGGTGATCTATTTTTTGTTATTAAAAAATAGTTTTATCAATATATCATGCACATACCACATAATTTATCCTTGTAAAGTGTTTAATTCCGTGGTTTTTAGTATATTGAGTACTGTAGCCATTTCCACTAATTCCAGACCGTTCCCATCTCTCCAAGAAGAACCCAAGACCCACTCACAGTCACTCCTCATTCTCCCTTCCCTCCAGCCCCAGACAGCCACTCATCTGCTTACGGACCTTATGTGTATAGATTCATTTCTGCATTCTCTATTCTGGTGATCTGTATGTCTGTCCTTACACTAGAACTATAGTATTGGTTATGTAGCTTTGTAGTAATATTTGAAATCGGGAAGTGTGGGTCCTCCAACCCTATTCTTTTTCCAGGTAGTTTTGGCTATTCTGGGTCCCTTGCATTTCCATATGAATTTTAGGGTCAGCTTGTCAATTTCTGCAAAAAAGCCAGCTGGAATTTTGGAAAGGGTTTTATTCAGTGTGTAGATTGTTTTAGTTTCTGGTCCATTAACATGGGATGTCTTTCCATTTATTTAGGTCTTACTACATTTCATGTTTTGTGGTTTTCAGAGTACAAGTCTTACACGTCTTTTGTTTTATTTATTCTTAAATACTTATTCTTTTGATGCTATTGTAAGTGGAATTTTAAAATTTTTTATTTCCAGATTGGTGTGTGTGTGTGTATGTGTGTATGTGTGGTATGTGCCCCTAGCGGGAACCGAACCTGGGACTTTCTGGTCTGTATGTCTACGCTCAACTGCTGAGCCAAATTGGCCAGGGCTCCAGATTGTTTTTTGATAATGTATTCACTTGGTTTTTGTATATCAGCCTGGCATGCTGCAACCTTATGGAACTCATTTATTAGTTCATAGTTTTGTTGGTACTTTAGGAAAATGCCTTTTAAACAATAGTGAAATAACTCAGGTTTTAAACTAAAGAAATTAAAATAAATAGATTGTCTTTGGGTACTGGATATATCTGGAAATCTGAGTAGAAATTAATTTTTTTTTAATCTGCCGATCAAAGGGCCATTCAGAAGAATCACGTGATACACAAATTCTTAAATTTTGTGGGGCATTAGCATCTCTGGCAGGGCCCTACCTCGAGCAACAGAGTTAAAATCTTCAGGATTGGAGCTCAGATGTTTATATTGTAACTAGCTCCCTAGATGGATTTGATGCTCCAAACTTTGAGAGGCTGTGACCATCTGATTCTTTTAAACAACATCTGGACAGATCATCAGAACGAACACACCTCGATGCCTTACTTCCTGCTCCTATCTTTCAGACAGGAATATAAAGCCAAAAGTGGAATTTGTTCATCGAAAAGGCCTGCATTTAATTTCTGCTCCAATTTTATAACACTTTCACTTTCCTCTAAGAGTTAAATAGTATATATTTATCCTTCTCTCTAAGTAAAAGTGAAAGGATGTTACAGTAGAATATAAGAGTTGAAAAGACTTAGGCCTGTGTTTCTCAAGCGGTAGTCTGTGGTCCACCTGTATCAGAGTTGCAGGAAGGCACACGTTAAAAACGCAGATTGGGCCCTGGCCAGGTAGCTCAGTTGGTTCCAACATTGTTCTGATATGCCAAGGTTGCAGGTTCAGTCCCTGGTCAGGGCACATACAAGAAGCAATCAATGAATGCATAAATAAGTGGAACAAAAATCAATGTCTGTCACCCTGGCCGGTTTGGCTCAGTGGTTAGAGCGTCAGCCTGTGGTCCAGAGAGACCCAGGTTCGATTTCCGCTAAGGGCACGTACCTAGTTTGCAGTTTGTGCCCGGCCCTGGTTGGTCGTGCAGGTGGCAGCCACTTGACGTGTCCCTTTCACGTCGATGTTTTTCTCCCTTTCTCTCTCTCTTCCTCTCTTTCCCTCTCCCACTCTATCTGAACAAAAAAATGGAAACATGTCCTCGGGTGAGGATTAAAAAAAAAAAATCAATGTCTGTCTCTCTCTTCCGCCTTCTCTCCCCCCCCCCCCACTCCCCCTCTCCTCCCACCTTCTATCTAAAATTTAAAAAAAAATTTTCTTTAATGCAGATTGCTGGGCCCCACCCCAGACCTGTGGTATTCTTTAGACTTAGGGCCTGGAAATAAGTATTTCTAAAAGCATTCCTGGGAACCAGTTCTCCTTTTACAGGTGAAAAAACCGAGGCCCAGAGACTTGTAAGTTGCCTAGTATCTCACCAATAGTGGCAGAGGCAGAAATCAAGTTCTCATAGGTCTTTAGACTCATGCTCAGTGTCTCCACTTGCACTGAAAAAGTGGAGGGCTAAGTTACTTTTTAGCTTTCTTCCCCACCCCTCAGCCACTCACTATTTTTTTTTTTTTTTTTCAGAAATTTTCTCTAATTTGATTAAGACATTTTAGAGAACCCTGCCCTAGTAGAAGAATTGCTGCCTTGATTAAATCCATGGGGTCTGAAGGCAGCCCCTGCAAACATGACAAATGAGTCATTAACTTGTGAGGTGGTAAATAGCTTTCTATGCCCTTAGTGACCATTTTTATTATGAAATACATAAATACGAATAAAAGAGGGAATGCTGTAAGAAATGCCTATGTGTGGCCCATCTGGGTGAGCATCATCCCTCGCACCAACAGGTCACAGGTTCGATGACTGGTCAGGGCACATGCACAGGTTTGGGGCTCGATTCCCAGTGGGGGGGCTTGCAGGAGGCGGCCAACTGATGTTTCACTCATCAGTGTTTCTCTCCCTCTCCCTTCTCTCTAAAAAAATAATAGGTAAAAACATTTTTAAAGAAATTCCCATGTACTTATTGCTCAGAATTAACAATATTTACCTTTTATCATGTTTGCTTCTTTTTAAGTAAATATAGCATTATACGTACAGTTGAAGCCCCTCCGTCCCCGTTGTCCCAGCCCTGCTCCCCTCCCTTCCCCCGAGAGTGCCACTGGCCTGAGTCGTGTGTACCCTTCCATGCTTGTTCCTCACTTTCTACTGCGCGTGTGCATGTCTTTAAGTAAAATATAGTATCTGGTATCATATTGTACACATCCGTTAGCAACATATTTTTCTCAGCATTATTTTTCAGTGCCATTGCTCTCAACATGCAAGATCAGGTCAATGTTTAAACTGCTGTGTTTCACTGTGTGATATGCCACAATGTAGCCCTTCTTCTGTTGGTCCATCGACATTTAGGTTGGTTCTGTTTTTTCACTGTTTATTTTTTTTTATTATTTTTTTAATACTGATTCCAATCACCATTACAACTGAGAAATCTGTAAGCTGTATCGTGAGCTGCAACCCCCACCCACCACCAGAACGTGCCCTGTAACACACAGTGATTCTAAGAAACAACCTCAGTGCCGCATCAGTAGGGTCTCCAAATCTCCCAAGAGGACTATTTTTCTTTATGTTTTCTTCCTTCAAGTCTTTTGTCATATCTGTGTGAACAAATCCTGGTGCAACTACGTTCACTCTAATTTTCCTTCTTGCTACTTCCTTAGCAAGAGCACGTGAAAATCCAACCAATCTTCCTTTGCTGGTACTGTACACGGACTGGCCAGCGTTACCTTTTAAACCAATAATACTTCCTGCGTTAACAATAGACCCTCTCTGTTGTTGAATCATAGTTTTCATGGCAGCTTTGCAGCATGGAACCCAAAAGGTTAGTATGAAGCTGAGATACCATATCTTCAGTTTTTGTTCTTACTAAAAGGCTATCCCTGCTAATTCCAGCTGCATTTACTAAGAAGTTAACAGGACCTAGATAATTTCTCCATCTCTTCAAATGTTTTTTGAACATCATGTTCTTTGGCAGCATCACAGCTAAATGCCAGATGACCACTGTCAAGGTCAGCAGCAGCAGCTTTGGCCATTTCCAGATTTCTGGCGATGATGGCCAGTCGGTAGCCTTTCTGGACCATTAACTGTGCCACTGCCCTGCCGATGCCCCAGGAGCCTCCAAATACAGCACAGACTTTGTTCATCTTGGACTAGGTAGTCACAAGAGAAAGGAGGGCTAAGAGGACCAGCCCCTTTTCAGATTTACAATTTTTATACCACTGCCGCTCAAAAAAAGAAAAAAGCCCAACCGCCACATGAGAAAGCACCCTCTTGCGCCTCCTCCTGCCGCCAGACGCATCCAGGAGGCCAAGCAGAGGCACTAAGAACAGGCGTCAGCGCGCAGGGCTCCCAGGCACCGCGCCCAAAGGGCGCCCTGCGGGAATGAGACAGCATGGCCAAGGACGGGCCGCCTGTTTTTCCACTGTTTATACGCAGTGCTGCCATGAATATCCTTGTGATCACGTAAAGTAAGGTCTGCGGTGGACTTACTGAGTCGTACAGTGGTACATCCTCAGCCCAACTAGATACTGCCAAATTGCCCTCCAAAGCAAGTGTGTCCCTCTCTCCTGAGAGTTCCCGTTTCCCCTGCCTCCAAGTTCCCTCCAACTGTACTCCTGTTAGTGACGTTGGGAACAGAGTTTTAGTGTACATCGTGGTATCAGTTCTTGCTCCTGTGTTTGCAGTAGCATTTTTCTCCAGCTTTCAACTTTTCTTTTTTAGAAGGTGATGCTCTTGTACAGAACCTTCATTCTCGCCCACAAAGAAGTATTGATCATATAAGAAATCTCCACGAGGAAGATGCCTTACTGAAGGAGGAGAGCAGCGTCCATGATGATATTGTTTTTGTGGATGTCGTTGACACGTATAGAAATGTTCCTGCAAAGTTGTTGAACTTCTATAAATGGTAGGTTGTAAAAATGTTGGGTAGGTAGAATTTGTTTTAGTGTTCTTTTTTTTTAAATCCTTACCCAAGGATGTTTTACTGATTTGAGAGAGAGAGGAAGGGGAGGGAGCGAAAGAGAGAAACATCAATGTGAGATAGAAAAACATCAATTGATTGGTTGCCTCCCATACACACCCTGACCAGGGATCCAACTCTCAACCTAGGTATGTGTCCTGACCTCAGCCTTTTGGTGCACAGAGCAATGCTTCATCCAACTGAGCCATCTATCAAACACAAACAGGCAGCCCAACTGGTGTGTCTCAGTGGATTGAGCTTTGGCCCATGGACTGAGAGGTCCCGGTTCAATTCCTAGTCAGGGCACATGCCCGGGTTTCAGGCTCCGTCCCCAGTAGGGGGCATGCGAGGGGCAGCCAATAGGTGTTTCTGTCTCACATGGATGTGTGTCTCTCCTTCTCTCTCAAAACAGCAACAAAAACAAAAACACACAAAAGCAGGCAAGAAGTGATTTCCCTTCCGGTTAGTCCCTGCTTTGCGTCGTTGCCACGGCTGTCTCAGGCCAGCATCAGATGGGAATCAGTGCCTTCGGAAGTGGCCCATTTTCATACCTGTCCACCTAAGTCCCCAGTTACAGTCACTCACACCCAGGTTACTGCTCTGAATTCTGTTAAAGTGAACATCTACATTATATTTCCATTCTCTACTCCGCCCATTTAAAATGACTTGCCCTAACTTTTATATAAAATAAAATTCAATAATTCTCAGCCTGTCATATTTATACTTTCCTGAGCCTTCAGTATGTCTTGGGTCTTAGTTGTAATTCCTACCTTTATAGTAATAATAGCAACAATAATAGTAACTGTTATCCATGTAGTTGTTAATGTTCAGCCCCTTCATATTGTCTACCCGGACTGTAGGACTAAACCCTAACTGTATCTCTATCTAGAACAAGTCTGTCGAGTGTATTCACTTCTTTTCTTTTCATTTAAAACTCTTATCAGTGGTCCTGGCCAGGTTGGCTTAGCAGTTAGAGCATCAGCCTGTGGACTGAAGAGTCAAGGGTTCAATCCCAGTCAGGGGTGTGCCATGCCTGGGTTGCAAGTTTCCCCAGCCCTGACCTGGGCTGTGCGGGAGGCAACTAAGATCTCTCCTTCCTTCCCTCACCCGAGGATATTTTTACATTAATGTTCAGATAGAGCTGGAAGGACAGAGAGGAAGAGAGAGAGAGAAACATCGATGTGAGAGAGACATCGATTGGTTGCCACTGCACAACTCCAACCCAACCCCAACCGGGGCTGGGACGAACCACAACCAAGGTACATGCCCTTAGCCAGAATTGAACCCGGGACTCTTCGGTCCGCAGGCGATGCCCTTACCGCTGAGCCACACCGGCCAGGGCCAGACTCTGGTTCTTAACACAGATGTACAGGGATTGGCACTGTGAAACGAAGACATCAATTTTGTCTCTAGTTGCCACTACATATTTTTTTATGTCTAGATAAATGAAATCCACCCCGACCCTCACCCCATGCCTTCCCAAAAGGTCACTGAGAAGAGTTTGTTTGCTGGAAATAAGTTCCAAGGGAGAATGTGTTTTAGTGTTGTAACTTATTTTTTTTAACTAAAATAGCTGAATATATGTAAATAGCAGCATATTGTTGCTGCTTGTCTAACAGTGTTGTATGTGAGGGACCAGGCATGACACTCGTCCCCTCTTCCTGGGCCTGTCTTACTAAGAGCACCGGGGCAAGGTTCGGATGTTGGACAGATTCGGTGGTCTGACCGGCTTGAGCAGTCCCCGGGAAGCATCTGTTTCATTTAAGCCAGATGCTTTTTGATTGTGTTCTCTTATTTTTTTAATCCTTTCTCCATTTTTGTTCAGATAGAGTCAGGGTTGGGGGGGTCAACATCAATGCGAGAGAGCCTCATCGACTGGTTGCCTCCCGCACGACCCCGACCAGGGACAGGGACAAACTGCTACCGAGGTACATGCGCTTGACCAGAATTGAACTTGGGACTCATTGGTCCGCAGGCTGGTGCTCTAACTGCCAAGCCGAACCAGCCAGGGCGGATCGTGTTCTGTTTACTTTGCACCTTTTCAAATGGGCTCGTGCTTTGCATTCCGGGCAGTGAGTGTCAAGTGAGGGCTGCAGCCGGCGCCGCAGTTCCTGTTGGAGCGAACATTCTCCACACCGCAGGGATGAGAACTGCAGAGGACGCGGGGGAGGGGCAGCTCGGATGCACCGAGAGCAGTGGGCACGGCAGAGTTGCTTTCTTTCCTTATATGGATGCACGGACTTCATGTGCCCTTTTTTGCCAACAGGACTGTGGAAACAACCAGCTTTGATTTATTGCTAAAGACAGATGACGACTGTTACATAGACTTAGAAGCTGTATTTAATAGAATTGCCCACAAGAACCTGGATGGACCCAATTTTTGGTGGGGAAAGTAAGTTAAACGTTGTTAGCCCATTGGCATTTATGTACTTGATCAAAGGTAATTAATTTAGAATGAAATATACCTCTTCATTTTTCATAAGAAAAATGTGGTTGAGATAGGAAATGTCCCTATTAGGCTCCTGGGTTACTATATTTTATTAATCTATGATTAGAGGGATAAAACGTTAAAATGAAAAACCTTAAGCTAATGTGATGAAGGCAGGACAGTGACCGGCTCACCTTTCACGGCCTCCAAATAAGTGGTGCTCAGATCAGCAGCTACTGTGTTACACATGGAGTGACTGTCACATTTCTGAAACTTCATTCTTCAGGAATACAGTATTAGTGAATTCTTTAAGCATATACAGCATGATCTGGTATTTTCCATTCAGAAACTCTACAAATGCAACTTTGAGAGAATTTAGATATATTGGTCTTTTATATAAAATACCCTAGATAAATAATTCCTTTCTCAGACTAAAAAAAAATTCTCATTCTTCTTTCCTTTAGTAACATTTGAGTCAAGCATAACAGTGGTAGGCTGTGTGTCAGGCCACACGAAGAAGCCAGTTTATTCTAAATCTCAGTTTCAGGTTGAACTGGGCGGTGGATCGGACGGGAAAGTGGCAGGAGCTGGAGTACCCCAGCCCTGCTTACCCGGCCTTCGCGTGCGGGTCCGGGTACGTGGTCTCCATGGACATCGTCCACTGGCTCGCCAGCAATGCAGGGAGGTTGAAGACTTATCAGGTGGGTAAAGATTTCTGACCTACGAGTGCACCCGTCAAACCTAGTCTCGCCCAGCCGGGTGCCCATCGCTGGAAGCAGGCCAGCTTGCCTGGGGAAAGAGCATTTCTTCTTTCTGTTTAGGAATCACTCAGGTTAGGGCACACTCCTGTCCCTCAAATTTGGGTCTAAGTTCTATTCCTGACCCTTTTCTGAGCTTGCTTTCAGCCTGTATTTACTAGTCCCTGGAGGAGTATAAAAATGTATGATCAGAAGGAAAACTATAAGCTGCTTCCTTTTTGGTGATACCAGCGACCGTGTCAGAGCACAGTGCCGCCAAATCACCAGGTCTAATGTGTGTGGTGCCATTAGTGCTGGAGCTTTAAGGTCCACGAGAAACAAGTGTCCCTTGTAAGATGTGCTGTCTTCATGTTAATGGCCACTGGCTCTGACTGCGTGGATCCGTGTCAGTACATGGCAGGGTTTTGTGTTAGATTACAAAACAAAGAGGCAGGAAGGTCGTTCACTGTCATTTGAATGGGTGTGGTACTGTCTTCACAGATGGCAGAGCATTCAACTTGTTCATGCCAACCTTGTGATATGTGTCTAGGGGGAAGACGTGAGCATGGGCATCTGGATGGCAGCCATCGGACCTAGAAGATACCAGGTGAGCAGGTCTGAGGGGCTGGCCTGAGCTGAGGAAGTGAGGGTCCATATTGAACCTTGGGCAGGAACAGCGAATTGAAGATCTTCTAGCATCGTTGCTGTGCTCTGGATTTCATTCACAATAATCCACCGGGTTCTCATACAATATTTTTCTGAGTTTAAAGCATAAAGAAATTTTTTGAATGGAAGTTCTGCCCACAAAGAATTAGGTTTTTTCGCCCTGGCCAGTTTGGCTCAGCGGTTGGAGCGTCGGCCTGCGGTACAGAGAGACCCGGGTTCGGTTCCCGCTAAGGGCATGGACCTCGGTTGCAGTTTGTCCCCGGCCCTGGTCGGTTGTGCAGGTGGCAGCCACTCGATGTGTCCCTTTCACATTGATGTTTCTCTCTCTCTCTCTGTTCCTCCCCCCCCCCCCCCCACTCTACCTGAACAAAAAATGGAAAAATGTCCTCGGGTGAGGATATAAAAAAAAAAAAAAAAAGAATTAGGTTTTTTGTTTGTTTGTTTTTTTATATATGCCCCTAGCGGGAACCCAACCTGGGACTCTCCGGTCCGCAGGCCAACACTCTAACCACTGAGCCAAACTGGCCAGGGCAAGAATTAGGTTTTTATCAGAAATTCTTTGCAGCTTTAAAACTTAAAACAATCAGCCCTGGCCCTGGCTGGTTTGGCTCAGCGGTTAGAGCGTCGGCCTGCGGTCCGGAGAGACACAGCTTCAGTTCCCGCTAAGGGCATGTACCTTGGTTGCAGTTTGTCCCCGGCCCTGGTTGGTCGTGCGGGTGGCAGCCACTTGATGTGTCCCTTTCACATTGATGTCTCTCTCGCTCCCACTCTATCTGAAGAAAAAAATGGAAAAATGCCCTCGGATGAGGATTAAAAAAAAACAAACTTAAAAGAATCAGCTTAGATAGTGTGGTGGTCTGACTGATGTGAATAGGTCGGATGCAGTGTGGTGAGGCATCTTGTGAAATACACTGATCACTGAGCTAGAGAAACAAGAACTGAGCCTGCACAGACCAGGCGTGGAAATAGAGCCGCACAGAGCAAGCAGAGCTGGCCTTCACCACGATGTCTGTTGATTTCTGGATTCTTGCTGCTTCCACTTTGGCCATAGGAGGTGCAGGAGACAGGAGACCTGCGTGGCGCCGGGGCCAGAGCAGTGCACCCCACTTCGGGGGACGGAAGTAAACCCATTCTACTTGTCCAGCTCTCTAGTCCCATTCCTGTCGCACTTTCAGTGCCGCCTCGGATGTGCTCCACGTCCGTCTGCTTTATTTCTGTACCCCACCACTCTGGTGTCTGCCGTCTGCAGGTCTGACTCGTGCTTTATGGTTTCTGCAGACTCGCTTATGGAGCTTGTTTCCTGGTGTGTTGAGAGGCTTTTTTGCTGTGACCTCATGTTCCTTGGGAACTGGGGTCTGAATCTGAAACGCTTTTCTACAGAGTATTTACATCTCTGCTGCCACCTAAGGGTATCACCATCCGGGAGCACTCGGTTTCTGCCGTGGGCTTGTGGGCTCCACAGAATAGGGGTCCAGCCGGATACCTACCTCAGTGCAGGCTCTGGTCACCCCTCCACCCAGCACCAAGGCTGAGACCCACATGCCTCCTCCATACAGTTCTTACTACCCGCCAGGCTCTGGCCGCTCGGGGGTCCTGGCTGGCTTTGGGACTCCCGGTCTGTCTCCTAGCCCTGGACAGTCTCAAGGCCTTTTAACCCAGTAGATGCTTCAAGGCTCAGGCCGATGCCTGCTCCTCGTAGCCTCCAGGTCCTTCTCCTTCAGGACCAGCTCAGCTCTACTTTACAAAGATGTCTGGGGCTGTAGCCCGCGTTCTCATGTTCTTTGCTTGAATGGGTTGCTCTGGGTCTCTGTTCGCTCTAGTGCTGGTGACAGGAGGGTCCTGGGGCTGTAAGTAGGCTGGTAGGCCCCTTCGAATCCTTCCTGCTTAGCACAACTTGCCTACATGAATTTCTCTGTGACCCTGAGCACGGTACCTCACTCTTAGTCCAGGTGCTCACCTGTGATTGTGAGGGTCACGTTAGATCACATGCATAAAGCACTTGGCACGACCCCTGGATACCGCAGCGGCCCATCGGCACCGCTGCCGTCTTCGCCCTGCTGTGCAGCCACTGGTTCTCTGACGGCGAGTGGGAGGTTCCCCCCGTGGTTTCCAAACCTCCCCTCCCTGCAGCTCCTCCTCACTGCCGGCGCGCACACAGCAGTCTCTGTGTTCCACGGCCACGGGCTCCCTGCACGTGGCGCTTTCCCCGCACCCCAAAAACCCCGAGTGGGTCCCCACACCGGGCTGTCTGCAGTGAGGCCAGCTTCCCTGGGAGGCCGCGTGTGAGCGGCGCCTTGTCCTCAGGCAGCAGATCAGCCCCAGCCAGCTCTCTGCTCCCCGACAGGACGGCCTGTGGCTGTGCGAGAAGGCCTGTGAGCCGGGGATGCTGTCTTCCCCTCAGCACTCGCCCCGGGAGCTGGCCGACGTCTGGAAGCTGAAGGAGCTGTGCGGCGACCCTTGTCAGTGTGGCGCGAGATGACCATCGGGAGGCGCTGTGCTGAGTGGAGAGCCGAGGAGAGCCGGGGGTCTGGCAGGGGGCGCCCGTCGGGAGGTCGGGGCGGGCACTCCTGGGACCGCCGGTATTAGCGTTTGCACAGAGCTTCCTTTTCTAAAGTCAACCCTGATGCTGTAGCATAAGAAAAATTTATTTATATATTGGAAGATTTGAAAAATACCAAATAGTTTATAAAAGAAACATTATTTCTAAATCCTGATGCATCATTTTTGGTTAAAAGTTGGCTTGTTCAGAAATCTTTAGTAACTGAGAGTTGGTATTTCAGCCTGGATTGCAGAATAGCTTCATATAGCATAATTAGGACAGTTAATGTGGGACAAAAACAACTCTCAGAAACGCCGTGTGATCACTGTGAGCAGTGGTCACTTATACCAAAGTCTGGGGTTTCTGAAAATACATTTTCTGTGGATGTCTGAATGAAGTGGGCAGCTTAGACTTGGAAAAAAACCAATTTAATTCTCAGTCCTGGACGTTGGTTTTAAAAATTAATTTATTATTCAGGGTCTAATGCAAGTTTTCTTTTGCCATTTCCCATGAGTCCTGAAAGTCACAGTTTACTACTCCTATTTAAAAAATGCTAAATTTTTGTGAGTATAAAAACAAATGCCTCTCAGGGTTTCAGGGCCATAAGGAAGGATATTTCTAAATAATTGACATTTTGAAAGAATTTTGCTTTCCTCCCATCTTTGCCTAATGTTGCCTAATAGCAGTGCATTTCAGTCAGAGCTGGGGATCTTTCAGAGAAGAATATAGGCTGAGCTTAGGTGTGACTGCGAGGGAAAGCATGCGGTCGGTTTCTCTAAGTGCTCTAGAAACAGTGCAATTGAGACGAGAAATCGTAGCATGTATATTGTACATAGTGGAGGATGTGCCCCCAAGTTTTAAGGGACTTTTCCCTAAATGACCAACCAAATCATTTTAGTAACATTTTAAACTAGAAGTATTAATAGAGAAGTCTATTAAAACTGGCCTTATGACATAACTGTGTTCAGATTTTATTAGACTAGCTAGGTTCTATTTAATATGGAGATCTTCACATAATAAAATGCAGTCATGAACTATAAATATGAAATAAAATCAGAAAATCATTAGTAGGTACAAAGCCTTTATTTTTATATACAAGCCTAGAAATGGTCTCTTCCTGAAGAAAAGTACAACCTTTTCTATACTTAGAGCAAGTTATAAAACCTTTCTTGTTTTGAGAATAGGATTGTTGTAATAAATCATTTCTCTCCGGTGAGTCACAACAAGCAGTCTGGTCTCTGAGTTTTATTAGTTGGCTGTCACCATCGCACTAGCAAACAGTCTCCATTTTCCACAGAATAAAACTGTAATGACTGTTGGTCATTTTCTAGTTCAATCTCTCTGCCCGGCATCTGAAATGAGAACAGAGGGTCGGGGTGATGAAGACCTCTGAAAAAGCGTGTTGTACGGACCCAGCCCAAACGGACCTAGGGCTCCCTTTAGAATCGGCTGCATGGAAACTCAGCAGCACGCCGCCCTGGGGGCAGCCTACCTTGGGGCTCTCGTAGGACAGCAGAAGGTCTGACACGGGCACTCTGAGAAGACGCGACAGCAGGCCTTTCACCTTCTGGACCGTCATGGAGTCTGTCGAAGAAAGACCACCAGTTCCCTCAGACGACAGGCACCTTCCAACTAGCGCACAGTACAAGGCCACGGCGCAGTGACACTGCCGCCGTCCTTCCACTGCCAGGCTACCCCAGTAAACGACAGGCACATGTCACAGGGACGGGCCACAGGCCCACAGCACCCACGCGAGGCCCTGGGAAACGGAGCGAGTTTTACACCCTTTCAGTGGTGGGCAGCGCGTCTCCGTAGTCCCAGAAACCAGCACTCGTGTTCTCTGCACAGAGGGACATGTGAGCAAATCCTTAACTTTTCTTTTTAAATCTTTGGATTACTTATCACTTAAAAGCCCACTGGCCTTAGTTTCTCTGTCAAGTGTGGGGTAAGCTGCCAGGTTCTTCCAGCCAATGGCTGGAAGTTGTTACAGTGTGTCACTGTGTCTGACACACCGACTGCCGGGCACGGGAGTTAACTCAGTGAGTAAACGCTTTGTTCAGAAAGCACAGCGGACTCTTCTCCAGAGATGAGCTGTGGTAAGTACTAGATGTTTCGGTGAGGAGTACAGTTTCTTCGAAGCTTTAGCTGGAGGTACAGCAGTAGTGTGGTGTTCCTGCAAATATCACATGGATTGAAATATTTTTTTATCGAAAATCATTTTTGTAAAAGCTGTCTGTGTTTTTATGCAACTTGTGATAATAAATGTTCTTTATTTTAGAAAAAAATGTCTTAAGTTTATGTATTGAACAGACAATAGGCATTTATCATTTTAATTAGCATAATTTGCTCAGATAGTCTTGTCCTTTGAGAAAATCTGGTAGGTGGACTGGGTTTGCTGTGCAGGGTTGGGTGGTGGTGGCCGGCCCCGTCCTGACCAGGCGGGAAACAAGGCCCTGCGACAGTTCTGATGAGTCTGCCCTGGCCGGTCCATACAAGTCAGTGGCAGTTTGCATGTAGTAATTCTAAATACTTTTAATATAAAAGTAACACATGATTATCTTATGCAGAATTGGGTAATTAGTTACCTTTCTGCCCCCATGACCAGTGTTAAAAGCTTGCTTACTTCCAAGCTTCCTCCCGTTACCCTGCTCGTGCGCAGCTCAGACCTCCCGAGGCTGCGCTTGGTGCTCCGTGCGATGGACCTGCGTCGCCGCCGGTGGCCGCCACACTGCACGGCGCAGCTCTAGGCCCGCTTCATTCTCTGGTGACACATGACACTGACGTGCGGTTCTACCAGGAACAGTCTGCTGTTTCCCGACACTGAAACTTTTTATTTTCACCACCACAAGTGCCCCAAGGTTGAATACTTGGTCAGAGCATATATGTATTTTTAATTTTTATACTAATTACCACCCAACTTTACAAAAACTTCATACTGATTTTTGATGCCAGCTCTACATATTAGTGTTTTTAATTTTTGCTAATCTGATTGGCAACAAAAAAAGTTTCAGTATTTTATATTTCTTTCTCTTTGCTCTTTAAAGGGTATTTATGTTAGTAGCTAGATATTTACAGCCTGTGGCATGAAAATTAGTAAGAACTGTTTGAATCTGCTGGCTTACTGCCGAGTAGAGACTGCAGGACTCAGATTCTGAATAGCTAAAAGCAATAATTAATATAATTTCTATGGGCAATTTTAATCTATGCTGGTTCCAACTGATGAGTAATCAAACAGCACGAGCACGGTGCTGCAGTCGCACAGGTGCCGGGACAGTGCCAGGTGCACAGCTGGGGGGCGCACGGGCCCATCAGCCCAGGACTGCCTGCACGCACACGCCCACCAACCTGTGCCTTCCCAGGACACCCTGAAAAGGAGGTCTTAACACAGACCTTCATGATAACTTTCTTTTTGCGGCTAATCCTCACCCAAGGATATTTTTCCATTGAATTTTAGAAGGGAGAGAGAAACATTGATGTGAAAGACACACACCGATTGGTTGCCTCCCTCACGACCCCGACCAGGGCTGGGAATGGAACTTGCAACCCAAGTATGTGAACCAAACCCTTTGGTCCACAGGCCAACACTCTAACTGCTGAAGCAGACCGGCCAGGGCCTGATGATAACATTCCTGAGCGATTCCCACAACCTGGGCCCACGTGTCTGGAAGCTAAGACACCCAAAGCCACCCGCATGAGCAGTGCTGGTCCTCCACCAGCCTGTCTCCAGTGCCCTTACTGACGCAGTCACCAGGGCACGGGCAGCAGCGCAGCGAAGGTCAGTGGGTGAGAAAACGGGGGGCATCTGTAATACTTTCAATACAGATAAATTTTAACAGAACTTTATTTTGTTTTTTGTTTTTTTTTATCCTCACCCAAGGATATTTTTCCATTTTTTGTACAGATAGAGTGGGAGGGAGAGAGAGGAAGGGAGAGAGAGAGAGAAACATCGACGTGAAAGGGACACATCGAGTGGCTGCCACCCGCACGACCAACCAGGGCCGGGGACAAACTGCAACCGAAGTACATGCCCTTAGCGGGAACCGAACCCGGGTCTCTCAGGACCGCAGGCCAACGCTCTAACCGCTGAGCCAAACTGGCCAGGGCCAATACAGATAAATTTTTTAAATATTTTGTAAAAGAGTATTTAAGTTTGAAAACAGAAGAGTGAAAGGGGAACCAGTCATTTTAATTCATTATGCAAATTACATGTCACAGGAACAGACTGGGTGGCCAGTGAGGAACGATGGAGTGACCGTGGTCAAGGGACATGAGATGGTGGTTAGCAACCAGAAAGGCACGTGGGGCCCCGCCAGAGCCTGCCGCAGCAATGCCAGGATACACTCATTTATAAAACTAATTTAAAAATCACTGTGATTCACTGCACTGACAGGTGCAAGTACTTTACTAGAGTCATTCAAGGTGATAATATATTTCATTTCTTCTTCAAATTCTCATTGCTCTAAACTTAACCTGTTTATATTTTAGTGTTTAACTGAGTGGAGCTTAATCTTGAGGATTCACAGTATACTAAAGAGAGAGTGTAATTAGATTTTTCTTTTGAGTGAAATTTTAAGGTAAGTTACATTGATCTAATTTGTTGACACTAAAGTATTTTCCAAATAAAATTAATTCAGTTCCATAACACAAACATTCGAGTTCTGAAGTAATTTTTCCAAAGAAAACCATTTCGGTGTGTCCATTAAAAGCATCTAAGAACTGTTTCTGACCGATAAAGAGTAGAATGTAGAAAAAGTCAGATTTCTGACTAATGCACACTTCAGCTCACTAGGACACGGTCCGCCCAGAGCAGCAACCGGACAGACCGCAGGAGCCTGGGAAGGGCCTCCAGAGGCTGGTGCTCAAGCTCCGTGCCTTCGGCTGACCTGTGGTCACGCGGGCTTCCTTTCCACAGAGGGGCGCTCTAGATGCGCTGATGACGGGACGAGAGTGAGCTCTCGGGAGGAGTGACTGTTCTGTTTTAGAATGGGAAAGGCTATGACAGCCCATGAGCCCCGTGGGCCACGCCTCCAGATACAAGTGAACTGTGCTACATGCAGCCCACAGGAGCACGAGGAGAGGAAAGATGCTGTCTTACCTGGCAGCTGTTTCTCCAGGACTTTCTGATCAGAATGGTTAGGACATTTTATCTTCAGTGCTTGAAGGAAAACAGGAAAAAGACTAACTGAGATCTGCTAGAATAAGGATTTAAATGACATCTGAACATTACTAGGGATTGATACAGCTGTTAGATACAACCTGGCTCAAACCCTGACAAAGAACTTGGTCTTACTGATGTTTAAAATCCCTCTGTTAACACTTCACCGAATTACAACACAATACCTGGACCAACATTCTGTTGCTTTCCCTGTTCCCCTTAAGAAATTCTTTCCTGACAACTGCACTAAGTTTTCAAGTGTAAGAAAAGTCACAAACTTCCAAATCACAATTCAGTGTACTGCTCAATGACACCCCACGTCTATAACACTAGTAAATGAGTTGAAAGCATGGAGTTGCTAAAATGTTCAATATAAGAACTTAGACATATTTAAAATGATACGTTTGTATCATTCCTTTAAAATTCGAAGTACTTGCCCTGGCCAGTTTGGCTCAGCGGTTAGAGCGTCGGCCTGCGGTCCGGAGAGACCCGGGTTCGGTTCCCGCTAAGGGCACGTACCTCGGTTGCAGTTTGTCCCCGGCCCTGGTTGGTCGTGTGGGTGGCAGCCACTCGATGTGTCCCTTCACGTCAATGTTTCCCTCTCTCTCTCCCTTCCTCCCTCTCCCTCCCACTCTATCTGTACAAAAATAAATAAATAAATAAATAAAAAATAAAATTCGAAGTACTCATTTAGGTACTTAAGAGAAACAATTCCTGTTAGGCCATCACTATCTGTTTCAGCATCTAAGGACTCAAATACAAATAAACTGTCTTTGAATTTGGGTTCTTACTTAGTAGCTGGTTTTTGAGCAAAAATGGTTGCTGTGTTTTGAGTTCCCCATCTTCAGGTGCACCATATTCTGTTTAAGAAATAACAAACGATGAGTGACAGACCAGGGGTCGCTGTAAGGGGACCATGTATAGTAGGTGTCAGCACAGGCTCAACTTCGCAGCAGCTGGTATGCCAACCCGAGACCTGCTTCCTTTCATTCCATCACCTGTTTATTTTTAGGAGGAATGGATAGCACCCACTTCCAATTGTGGAACCCTCCATCACCGGTGTGTTACGTCACCGATCCTGAGACGGTGTCCTCACAAACAGCAAGATGAGGCTGTGCTTCCAAATACTGTACTTAAACCGTTCAGTCCGAGTTTCACCTGTGCTAACATTTCCCCTTCTGAATCTTGAGACAGACACCTAGTCCTGTTTGGGACGCGACTCCCAGGACACCTTCCCAGGTCCAGGCGAATCTGGAAGGTTAGGGTGGGTGGTCGGGACCACCCTGCACACCACGCCCCCTGGGAAGGTGTAAGGACAGCAGTACCAACCAGCAGTGCCGTGCTGAGCCTACAGGACGCTGCGTAGAACCTCCCCTCTCCCTTCCTCACATCCACCTCAAGCAGCTCGGAGAGTGGGCGCGAACAGAGTAATCTGAAAGCCACTCCCATAGGAGCTTCTCTTCCTCAAAGATAATGTTCCAGCCTGAGGCGTTTATGCAGTGAGCTCACATTACAAAATACATAAAAAAGAAAACCACATAAAAGTGAAATTTGGAATAATTATTAAGGCAAAACAAAGTGGAAAGTACATGAGGGACAGAGTCATGAAGTGGCAGCTGCGGAGCAGCGACCCGGGCTGCAGAGGGAGGGGGCATGTCAGCCGGAGCCTGGGGCCCAGCAGCCAGCCGCCTCTGCAGGTGCAAGGAGGTCAGGGGGAGCTGGGGAGCTGGGGAAATGCCAGTGCCTGGGCTCCACCTTCAGATGCTCCTCATTTTCGGGTTCCTGGGGCTGCCGGTCGAAAGAACCAGGTGCCGCCTGCCCCCTGGCCTCTCAGTGGGCAGACGTGCCAGGAGAGCTCCCATCAGGAGCTGCTCTTCCCCACGCCGCAGGTCCCTTCGGCCGGTCCCCCTCTAAGGCAGTTTAGTACGTGCTCCCAACTTGCTGACTGAGCCCCAGGCAAGTACCCAGCACCCACTTAGATGCAAAAGGAGAGAAGCAACGGCCCGAGGCCTCAGTGACACCCAGGAAGGCAAGGTACGCACTTTGGCAGAGAAACTGGTATCTGGGGTGCGCTGCCAGGAACTCCTCGTTTGGCCTATTTTTGTGGGGATCCTGATGCCCACCCGCCTCTTTCCATTCATTTCCGAACGCTTTCCGGTAATCCAGCTCGGCCCCGCGCCGCTCCTCCGGCAGGATCTGCGGCGAAGGGAGATGCAAGCAGTTCTATTCAGGCATTTTTCTTTTTTTAGCATTTTCTTTCTTTTTTTATCCTCACCCAAGGACATTTTTTCCATTTTTTGTTCAGATAGACTGGAGGGAAGAGAGAGAAACACAGAGAGAAACATCGATGTGAACGGGGCACATAGAGTGGCTGCCTCCCGCACGACCCAACCAGGGCCGGGGACAAACTGCAACCAAGGTACGTGCCCTTAGCGGGAACCGAACCCGGGTCTCTCCAGACCTCAGGCTGACGCTCTAACCGCTGAGTGTTCAGGCATTTTTCTAATCAGTCCTGCGCCCTGCTCTTCCCCACTGCCCACTCCCAGACAAACGGAGAGGGACAAGATAATCCTGTTTTCACCATTTTTAACACCGACAGAGTTCAGGAGTTCATTCAAAATGGAAAAAAAAAAAATTCAGCCCGGCTGGTGTGGCTCAGTGCTTTGAGCTTTCTCGCATGGACTGAGAGGTCCCGGTTCTATTCCCAGTCAGGGTACATACCCGGGTTGTGAGCTCGATCCCCAATAGGGGGCGTGCAGGAGGCAGTCAATTGATGTTTCTTTTATCAATGTTTCTATCCCTTCCTCTTTCTCAAAAATCAATAGGGGAACTTCCGGTCAAGGTGGCAGGTAAGTAAACGCAGTATCGAGTCCTCCCACAACCACATCAAAGTTACAACTAAACTACAGAACAACTGTCATTCAGAACCATCTGAAATAGAGCTGAATGGAAGTCCTACAACCACGGAATTAAAGCAGCAGCCACATCCAGACTGGTAGGAGGGGCGGAGGCGGTCGGGCTGGTCCCACACCCACGTGTGGCGGATAAAAATCAGGAGGACACCTTGGCTGGGAAGGTCCTCCCTGAGGACTGAGGGTTCCCTGTCCCACACCAGGAGCCCCGCTCAGGGTTCCAGTAAGAGAATCCCCATCACTTCTGGCTGGAAAAACCAGCGGGAACTGAGGCTCAGGGAGGCTGAGGCGGCTGGAGCCCCAGGCAGCTCCTTAAAGGGCCCACGCACGGACTTATCAAACTCACTCCCTCTAAGCTTGGAGGGGAGGCAGCTCGAGGGGCACCAGAGATGCTACAGGGAAGAACTGAGCTGTTTGGCACTGGAGCAAGGGCTGGAGAGGGGGCTTTCTCCAGGACAAACGTGCTGTCCGAGGCCTTTGTTCCTTTGGTGAGCCCTTCCCTGGGGCAGCAGACACCCACCATATCTGGGACTCCAGCAACCTGGCTCACACTGGTAGCCCCGCCCGGCCCCGCCCCACCCAACTTTCAGGCCCACCCAAGCTGTTGCCAGTTGCTTAACCATAGGATCGGCCTGTCTTGGATCCTGCTTCAGGTTTTCCTAAATTCTTTCAAACGAGCAGCATCTGGTCTCAGCGAGCCCCATACCTCTCCTTAAGTAATACACAGAAACAAACACAGGGAGGCAGCCAAAATGAGGAGACAAAGAAACAGGTCCCAAATGAAAGAACAGAACAAAACCCCAAGAAAAGAACTAAGCGAAATGGAGATAAGTAACCTAACCAATGCTGAGTTCAAAACACTGCTTATAAGGATGCTCAATGAGAACCTCAGCGAACTTAGTGAGGGCCTCAAGAGCATAAAAAAGGACCAGTCAGAAATGATGGCTGCACAGTCAGAAATGAAGGAGGCACTAACTGAAATAAAGGATAATTTACACAGATTCAATAGTAAAGTAGGTAAAGCCAAGAAGCAAACCATCGATTTGGAATATAAGGAAGCAAAAACACACAATCAGAAGAGCAAAAAGAAAAAAGAATCCAAAAAAATGAGGGTAGTGTAAGGAGCCTCTGGGACAACTTCAAGCGTGCCAACATTCGCATCTTGGGGGTGCCAGAGGAGAAGAGATAGAACAAGAAATCGAAAACCTGTTTGAAACAATAATGGCAGAAAACTTCCCTAACTTGGTGAAGGAAACAGACATACAAGTCCAGGAAGCATAGAGAGTCCCAAACAAGATGAACCCCAAGAGGCCCACACCAAGACACATCATCATCATCAAAATGCAAAAGGTTCAAGACAAAGAGAGAGCCCTGGCCAGTTTTGTTCAGTGGTTAGAGCATTGGCCTGCGGTCCAGAGAGACCCGGGTTCGATTCCCTCTAAGGGTGCATACCTTGGGTGCAGTTTGTCCCTGGCCCTTGGCTAGTCATGCGGGTGGCAGCCACTCGATGTGTCCCATTCATGTCGATGTTTCTATCTCTCTTCCTCTATCTCCCTCCCACTCTATCTGAACAAAAAGTGGAAAAATGTACTAGGGTGAGGATTAAAAAAAAAAAAGAGAGAGAGTATCTTAAAAGCAGCAAGAGAAAAGCAGTTAGTTAGTTACAAGGAAACTCCCATTAGACTGTCAGCTGATTTCTCAAAAGAAACTTTGCAAGCCAGAAGGGAGTGGCAAGAAATATTCAGAGTGATGAAAAGCAAGAACCTACAACCAAGATTACTCTATCCTGCAAAGCTGTCATTTAGAATCAATGGCCATATAAAGAGTTTCCCAGACAAGGAAAAGTTAAAGGAGTTCATCACCACCAAACCATTATTATATGAAATGTTGAAGGGTCTTGTTAAATAAAAAGATAAAAATATGAACAAACAAAATGGCAATGAATACATATCTATCGACAATTGAATCTACAAACAAAACGAACAAGTAGAACAGAAACAGTCTCACAGGTATAGAGAAAATTTTGTTGGTTGCCAGATGGGAGGGGTTAGGGGAATGGGTGAAAAAGGTGAAGGGATTAAGAAGTACAAATTGGTTGCTAGACTGAGAAGCCTCAAAGGGAAGGGGGGTTGAGGGGTGGGAAGAAATAAAGAAATTATTTGCATATGTGCATAACCAATGGACACTGGCAATAGTGTGGGAAAAGGCGGGGGGGGGGGATGTGGAGGAGGGGTCAATGGGGGAAAAATGAGGAACATCTGTAATACATTCAACAATAAAGATAAAAATTTTAAAAAGAAAAAAAATCAATAAAAACATTTTTTAAATATTCAGTTTTCTAATTTTCTTCATGGGAGTATTGGCCCATGAGCTGGTTTCTGGACTGTGCCAGGTGCCTGAGGTCACCCACATGTGGTCAACCCACCTGGGGGAGCCCACCTGGGGGAGCCCACCTGGAGGAGCAGAATTCCCAGCCAGCGCAGTCTACCCATTTATAAGAAGGGGAGGATCAATAGGCTCATGTTTCTGTCTTCCTTCTGCCCACATTCCTCCCAAGAAGGAGGAGGGAAGTACTCAGTATTCCTCACCCTCCTCCAGTGATAATGAAGCAGCCAGGCAGCAAGTCTCAGCTGCACTGATCAGTCTAATCCCACTGTCACCAAAATACACAGGATGCTACTTTACTGCTGAAGGGAAACCACATCTAATACCCCTACAGCATTCCAATATAGTATCTGTGCACTCCTTGATCATTTGTTTTCTCATCTAGAAAACACTTAGCCATAAGTAGCCCTGCACTCGCCTCGCATCTGTTCAGGGTCTGCAGCTGCCCGATCTTGGCGATGATGAACTGGAGGTTGGTCTTCGCTCCGCTTCCCACGGTCAGGGGGTTTCTTAGGCAGGACAAGGAGCGCAGACTCTGTAACTTGTCCAGTTCGTTCATAAATGACCACTGAAATGCAACAAAAGAAAAGAAACATGTTGACTTCCGGTCAAGATTGCGGGTAGGTAAATGTGGTATCGCGTCCTCCCACAACCACATCAAAGTTACAACTAAACTACAGAACAACTGTCATTCAGAACCGTCTGAAATGGAGCTGAATGGAAGTCCTACAACCACAGAATTAAAGCAGCAGCCACATCGAGACTGGTAGGAGGGTGGAGGCGGACGGGCTGGTCCCACACCCACGTGTGGTGGATAAAAATCAGGAGGACACCTTGGCTGGGAAGGTCCTCCCTGAGGACTGAGGGGTCCCCGTCCCACTGTTATAACCCAGTAATTCTCCATCTGCTAGAAGAAGGAACCTCTCCTGGGTTCCTTGAACCCGAGTTGTTTTTGCAAAAATTCTTGAAGAGGAAGGTATGCATCAGCCATGACCATGAGCTTACCTAATCAGGAGATGCCAGACAGGACAATGAGGCATTCAAGGCTGGGGTCCAGTAAATGTTAAGAAATATAAAACAACTTGTGCAGTTACTAACTGTTGATATCTGCGTCTGTACACGTAGCTTGCTTGCTCTGCTAAACTCTTGAATGACCCCTGTCCTATATAAGCAGCTCTCCCCCTGAGCTCGGGGCTGCAGTTCTCCTCTGTGTAGGTTGGCTGCAGTCCCTGCGCAGGTAATAAAGCTCCTAATATTGAAAATTACTTGATGTCTGAGTGAGGATGACTCTCCTGGGTTACACCACCACACCAGGCGCCCTGCTCAGGGTTCCAGTGCCAGGAAGAGAATCCCCATCACTTCTGGCTGGAAAAACAGCGGGAACTGAGGCTCAGGGAGGCTGAGGCGGCTGGAGCCCCAGGCAGCTCCTTAAAGGGCCGGCGCACGGACTTATCAAACTCACTCCCTCTAAGCTTGGAGGGGAGGCAGCTCGAGGGGCACCAGAGATGCTACAGGGAAGAACTGAGCTGTTTGGCACTGGAGCAAGGGCTGGAGAGGGGGCTTTCTCTGGGACAGACATGCTGTCTGAGGTCTTTGTTCCTTTGGTGAGCCCTTCCCTGGGGCGGCAGACACCCACCATATCTGGGACTCCACCAACCTGGCTCACACTGGTAGCCCCGCCCTGGTGACTCCCTGAGGCCCCGCCCCACCCAACTTTCAGGCCCACCCAAGCTGTTGCCAGTTGCTTAACCATAGGATCGGCCTGTCTTGGATCCTGCTTCAGGTTTTCCTAAATTCTTTCAAACGAGCAGCATCTGGTCTCAGCGAGCCCCATACCTCTCCTTAAGTAATACACAGAAACAAACACAGGGAGGCAGCCAAAATGAGGAGACAAAGAAACAGGTCCCAAATGAAAGAACAGAACAAAACCCCAAGAAAAGAACTAAGCGAAATGGAGATAAGTAACCTAACAGATGCTGAGTTCAAAACACTGCTTATAAGGATGCTCAATGAGAACCTCAGCGAACTTAGTGAGGGCCTCAAGAGCATAAAAAAGGACCAGTCAGAATTGAAGGAGGCACTAACTGAAATAAAGGATAATTTACACAGATTCAATAGTAAAGTAGGTAAAGCCAAGAAGCAAACCATCGATTTGGAATATAAGGAAGCAAAAACACACAATCAGAACAGCAAAAAGAAAAAAGAATCCAAAAAAATGAGGGTAGTGTAAGGAGCCTCTGGGACAACTTCAAGCGTGCCAACATTCGCATCTTGGGGGTGCCAGAGGAGAAGAGATAGAACAAGAAATCGAAAACCTATTTGAAACAATAATGGCAGAAAACTTCCCTAACTTGGTGAAGGAAACAGACATACAAGTCCAGGAAGCATAGAGAGTCCCAAACAAGATGAACCCCAAGAGGCCCACACCAAGACACAACATCATCATCAAAATGCAAAAGGTTCAAGACAAAGAAAGAATCTTAAAAGCAGCAAGAGAAAAGCAGATAGTTACCTACAAGGAAACTCCCATTAGACTGTCAGCTGATTTCTCAAAAGAAATTTGCAGGCCAGAAGGGAGTGGCAAGAAATATTCAGAGTGATGGAAAGCAAGAACCTACAACCAAGATTACTCTATCCTGCAAAGCTGTCATTTAGAATCGATGGCCATATAAAATCTTTCCCAGACAAGGAAAAGTTAAAGGAGTTCATCACCACCAAACCATTATTATATGAAATGTTGAAGGGTCTTGTTAAATAAAATGATAAAAAATATAAACAAACAAAATGGCAATGAATACATATCTATCGACAATTGAATCTACAAATAAAATGAACAAGCAGAATAGAAACATTCTCATAGGTATAGAGAACAGTTTGTTGGTTGCCAGATGAGAGTGGGGTTGGGGGAATGGGTGAAAAAGGTGAAGGGATTAAGAAGTACAAATTGGTTGCTAGACTGAGAAACCTCAAAGGGAAGGGGGGTTGGGGGGTGGGAAGAAATAAACCAAACAGACAACAGTGTGGGGAAAGGCAGGAGGGGGGCAGGAGTGGGGAGGAGGGAGTCAATGGGGGAAAAATGAGGAACATCTGTAATACATTCAACAATAAAGATAAAAAAAAAAGAAAAATAAATAAAAATAAATAAATAAACATATTTCAGGCTCATTTTTTCAGATTATTTGAACTAGTGACAGCAACGTAGTCGCTGGTTCAGTCTGTGGACCAGGATGGGACTCCGACTCAACCAAGGAAAAGGGATCTGCTTACCTGGGAGTTAAACTACTTTCTTTCTTAGTATTTTTGGGTTTATATGAGGAATTTCACTCTGAAGAAGCATTTCTCTTTCAGAAAGTTTAAAATGTGTTTTCACAGAAGGACCCCACAAAGTGGAGCATGAGGGTGGAGAGCACAGCCATGCGGCAGGCACAGTCTGAAGAAGCTCTTACTTGCGATATCTGATTGTCATCGACTATAAGGTTTTGCAAGAAGGGAAACATGGACGTTTTGCACCCTGGAAAAAGGAGAGTTAAGTTATATAACAAAAGTGAAACAAATACTGCAGCATGGAATACAGGGGAGAGAACTGTAATCATCTTACATACCAATCCCAGCATTCGGGAAATGTAGAGAAGAAATCCCAATGTCACGAAGGATTAGTTGTTCTAATCTGAAATTACAAATGTTCAGTTTGATGGCACAGAACAGTATCAGATGCTGTGGGCTGTCGGCCAGACTAGATCTGTAACTATCTGCTACTGCTTAGGTTTTCATCCCGGGGGCACTCAGAAACCATGAGGGCCGGTCCAGGCACGCAGCGGCATGTTCTCACACTCCAGTCGCCTCACTGTCCTGGGTGTCCACTGCTGTGCTAGTGCTACGTGGGTCACAAAGAAGAGACAGGATCTTCCCGAAGCTGATGAATGAAGCCTTGGCTTGAGCACTAGGGCCAAATTACTCCTCCTCCAATTGCCTAGTGCGGGTGTGGGCGACATTGTATGTAGTTCACAAGTAGGCTCTAATGAACTCAGATAAGAATTTCCCAAGGAGGACTCCCTTTGAGAATGCCATCATCATCACTGTGTGTCCACTGCAGGAGTGGATGTGGCACAGGACCCGATCACCGAAACAGTGCACACTAATGCAACAGGCATCTTAGGAGCCAATTACCTGGGCAGGTACGCTATTAGAAAAAGCTGATTTTCATCAATCAACTGATTAGAGGAAAGGTCTAATAACTTGACCATCTGTAGAACGTCAGCCGGCCTGTATGGAAAATAAAATTTTTTCAATGTGAATTTAATCTCATTTTCAAACATACAGCCTTAAAACACCTGCATTTGCTATTGAGGAGAGATTAGGGGAGGAGGCAAGTGGATATAACTATAAAAGGGCAATACAAGGGACCCTGGTGACGGAGACAGCTGCTTCTCTACAGACCAGTGTGGGTCTCCTGGTGGTGACATGGTACCATGCTTTGCAAGATGTTACCAGTTGGGGGAGCTGGTAATAGGTATCACTGTACATGAATCTAAGATTTTCTCAAAAGTTTAATTTTTAAAAACCTGCCTTACCTGTTTAATAAATGAGATTATTCTGTAAAGTCTTAACGTGAATCCTTTGAAAATTTGTTGGAAATTTGCCCACATCTAAATTTATTTTACATAGTAATTTAATGATATCAATGAAAGAGGCAGATGAGACAACATATTTAATCACTTAAGGCACATTGACCTTCACCAGATGGTGCTACTTACAAATGCATCATTTAATCATATAGCAAATCCTACAGAATTTCCATTCAGACACAGAAGTTAAATATATTTCTGTGAAACATAAAATTCATGTTTTCAAAAATATTTAATTTGGGGCTTTCACCCTAATGGGTTTTTTGTCAATTAAGTAGTGAAGTTTTAGTTAACATTCTAATTTGTGAAGGTGATGAGTAAGCATTTTTCTAATTCTTACTTGCAAATCCTTCTGAAAATTAGTATCTAATTGGGGCCCTGGCCAGTTTGGCTCAGCGGTTAGAGCGTCGGCCTGCGGTCCGGAGAGACCTGGGTTCGGATCCCGCTAAGGGCACGTACCTCGGTTGCAGTTTGTCCCCGGCCCTGGTTGGTCATGCGGGTGGCAGCCACTCGATGTGTCGCTCTCACATCGATGTTTCTCTCTCTCTCTCTCCCTCTCACTCTATCTGAACAAAATATCGAAAAATGTCCTCGGGTGAGGATAAAAAAAAAAAAAAGATCTAATTGGGACTACAAATTCAGGGTGAGTAAATGGTGACAGGTGCTGTTAAGTAAATCCTTACCTTTCTGAAATGGTAATATTGTTGGACTTAAGGTACAGCTCCTCGAGGACCGGCCACCCAGCAGCACACCGGAGCACCTACGGGGGACACAGTTCAGGGGAAAGAGGCCTCTGCTAGTGGTTTTCCTGTGTTCGTTTCTGAGCCCTGCACAGGAATCCAGTTTAGTCCCTGTCTCAGAAACAAGTGCCTGTGGACACGTCACTGAAGATTCAGGCCAGATGAAAATCAACGGCCGCGTTGTGATGACCCGGGCCCTGTTTCCTGGCACCAAGCCGCCCAACACCAGGTATCCGGCTGACATGAAATGGGCTGGGCTACCTACAGCTTGGACCGCAGGGGGTCGCTCAACACCCTCTCCTTACCTGATAGAGTCTGCCTCACCAAAGGAAGGAAAGTGATGTTAAACACCTTTCCTCAATTATCAATGCCAATCTGAGTTTGTAAAGAACAGACTAATCTGCCCTGGCTGGTGTGCTCAGTGGTTAGAGCATCGGCCCGCAGACCAATGCGTCGTGGGTTCCATTCCAGTCAAGGGCACATACCTTGGTTGCATTTTGGTCCCTGACCCTGGTCAGGGTTGTGTAGGAGACAACCTGTCCATGTGTCTCTCTCACATCGATGTTTCTCTCCCCCCACCATCACCCCACTCCATCTGAAGATAAATGGAAAAAAAGTATCCTCAGGTGTGGGTTTTTGAAAAAATATACTAATCAGTCAAAATTTCTCAATAACTGTTCCTAAATTTTCTCATTAGAACTTCACTGCCCTCTCCCCACCTGCATTTCTGTGAGCCCTTCCAGTTGCCATGCCAACCCTAAACCTGGAGAGGGAATCGCAGCAAGGAGCCCCAGCAAAGGAGGTACGTGGCTGTGGCCACAACTTCAAGGTGACACCTCTAAGGGATGTGCCTCGGCAGCATTTCACAGGTGAACAATTCGCTGGGGGTGTGCTTCTCTGTACTTGTTTGGCAGTGAGCCTTCTGGAAGCCTGGGGGCGGCTAACCCCCGGCAACAGCAGTACCAGTGACAAACGCTTGGCGTGGGACCACCGCGTCCCCGCTGCAATGGGCAGCGGGTTCTAGAGCTGACCTTCAAGCGAGAAGAGGGTGTGAGAACTTTCTGCTGCTCGTTCTCTGCCCTGAGAGCACTTGTGAAAACTCAGGCAGCTAAAAGCCCGATCAGCAGCTGGTTCTCCATCAGCAGGAGCTCGGTCCGCGCCCTCCGCGCTCCCCGCGCCGCACTGTGCCTTCCGCGCCCTCCGTGCCCTCCACGCCCCCGGGCCGCACTGTGCCCTCCTCCGCGCCCTCCGCGCCCCCGGGCCGCACTGTGCCCTCCGTGCCGCACTGTGCCCCCCTCCGCGCCCTCCGCGCCCTCCGCGCCGCACTGTGCCCCCCCCCCGCGTCCTCCGCGCCGCAATGTGCCTTCCGCGCCCTCCGCGCCCCCCGCGCCACACTGTGCCTTCCGTGCCTTCCGCGCCCTCCGCGCCCTCCGCGCCCCCGCGCCGCACTGTGCCCTCCGCGCCGCACTGTGCCCCCCCCACACCCCCGCGCCGCACTGTGCCCCCCGCGCCGCACTGTGCCCTCCGTGCCCCCCGCGCCGCACTGTGCCCCCCGCGCCGCACTGTGCCCTCCGCGCCGCACTGTGCCCTCCGTGCCCCCCGCGCCGCACTGTGCCCCCCGCGCCGCACTGTGCCCTCCGTGCCCCCCGCGCCGCACTGTGCCCCCCGCGCCGCACTGTGCCCTCCGCGCCGCACTGTGCCCCCCGCGCCGCACTGTGCCCTCCGTGCCGCACTGTGCCCTCCGGGCCGCACTGTGCCCTCCGTGCCCCCCGCGCCGCACTGTGCCCTCCGCGCCGCACTGTGCCCCCCGCGCCGCACTGTGCCCCCCGCGCCGCACTGTGCCCCCCGCGCCGCACTGTGCCCCCCGCGCCGCACTGTGCCCCCCGCGCCGCACTGCGCAGTGGCTCCGAGGCGCCGGCCAAGTCGGAGCAGACAGACTCGAGACACGGAAGCCTCATGCCCTGACCCTGTAAGGCAGCTTAAAGGACCCTAGTGTTTGGATAACAGGATAATTAAAAAGAGGCCACAGTTATGCTTCAGTTCTCTATTACATCAGTCATTTAAACTTGCTTGTCACCGGGGAATGCAGCAGAGAAGCAGGATCACCTCGGCCCACGTGACTCCCGTCCCGTTGAGGACTAAGACCTTCAGCGCCGCGAACGTTCTGGGTGCAGACGGGCCGGGGGCGAAGCCGAGTTTATTTTCGCTGCAGAGAAAGAGATGCGGCGTGCTCACTGCTGCCCAGCAGCCCGACCCAAACAGTCACTGACGGCACAGTCTGGGGTTAATTAAGAGCCGTTTGGATCGTTTCAACCTTAAAATTGTATCAAAAACAAAGTGAGTCAAGACTGCCTAATGTTTAATGTTTACAATACACACTTTTGTATCTGACATGCACAGATGTATCCCAGGGTCCGGCAGCGCGGGAGGGGGGGAGGGGTGCAGGTTTCCTGACCCGCTCGGGCCCTGGAAGCAGCCACCAGCTTCTCAGGGTGCACTCTGGACACTGCAAAGTCCCTGCCCCCTCGGGTCTCACTGACAGGCTGGATCGTGGGCTGAAACTCGGTTTCTTTAAACAGTCTGTCCTTAGACTATGGGGCTGGATGACATAAATTCCTGCCCTTCAGTTCTGGAGATCTGATCTCAGTCGGCACTCAGTCTGGATAGTCATTCTTAAAGGAGATACCATAAACCCTCAGCAGCCCTTATTTCCAGAAGAGGAGACATCGTGGATCGAATTACACCCTTTGCTGCAGTGGAGAGCACAACAACGTTAGGCCGGACAACCGGAGCCCGCTGCAGCCCACCTGTGCAGGCCAAGTTGGCTCAGGTACGAAAGGGGAAGCCTGGCTGAGCTCTTGGACAGTTAGGTTCTGAGATTAAAACTAATACCGGAAAAAACCTGGAAAACTGACATTAGTAAAATACACAGATCAGTGACAAATCCTTATCAGAACTGAATTAAACTATTCCAGTGAAGTTACTCACTCCTGAAGCAGTTAAATGCCAGACGCTTCCGCATGAAGCAACACTTTTACTGTCACCTACTCCCCAGTTAAACACCCCAACCTGGTGGGCCATCGTTCATGGCCAGGTTCGACCTACCGCAGCCCCCGCCCAATCAAAAGTAAAACATTCCCAGTTAATGAATCACCTCATTTGAAAAACTATAATAATCAAAGATATGAAAGAAGTTAAAGAAAAATTTAGAATAAATTAAGCTTAATAAACTTAACGAGGGCATCCTTCCCACTCTTTCCCACAGAGCTGAGAGGGAGCAGGAGAGATGAGTTTTAGATCGGATAACAAATTCGGTACCAACAGTTCCTACCTGAGATCAAGGACTTCCAGGTGTCTGAGCTGATCAGCAATATCTGTGACTTCTTCCCATGCTGACAGCAGGTTTTGTGACAAATTTAAGACTCTAATATCTAAAAGCACATGTTAAGAAACAGTAATACAGAAAGAAGCACAAAAGACATAATGGCTGTGACTTCTGAACTCTGAGCACAAGTTCTGCACCACTCTGCCCTCCACTCTGCAGATACTGCTCTCACCTTTTCTTTTCTTTTTTTTTTTATCCTCACCCAAGGACATTTTTCAATATTTTGTTCAGATAGAGTGGGAGGGAGGGAGAGAAATATCGAGTGGCTGCCAACCGCATGACCCAATCAGGGCTGGGGACAAACTGCAACCGAGGTACATGCCCTTAGCAGTAACCGAACCCGGGTCTCTCCAGATCGCAGGCCAACGCTCTAACCGCTGAGCCAGGGCTGCTCTCACCTTTTCAATCGTCCAGCTGTTCATTCAGTAACTAAAGGGCTGTCATACACTACAAACCAGAGACCAATACCTGCAGTCAAAGGAATGGAAGGAGCGAGGGAAGGAGGGAGAGAGAGAAACATCTATGTGACAGAGACACATCAATTAGTTGCCTCCTGCATGATCCCCGACTGGGGCCAGGGACTGAACCTGCAACCTGGGTACATGCCCTTGACTGAGAATCAAACCTGAGATCCTTTGGTGTGCAGGCTGACACTCTAACCACTGAGCAACATCGGCCAGGGCGGGCATGCCTCTGGAAGAAGAGGACCCGAGGAGGGAATAATGCCAAGCAAAAGCCTGAGGTAAGAACAGCTGGCCTCTGACAAAGACAGCAAGCACCGGCGTGCCCAGGCCGAGGAGCAGGTGCTGAGACTGGACTCACACAGGTGGTAGGGGCCAGGCCTGACCAGAAGGGCCTCACAGGCCACTAAGAGGTCTGCCAGTCTCTGCTTGAAATGGGGGGAATGGGGGGACCTTGGGGCCAGTGCTGAGATGTCATTCTTTCGAAGGTCACTGTGTTTACATAATGAACAGACTGCAGGAAAGCAGACAGAGCAGAAGGTACCCTGGACCAGACCAGGGCCTCCAGGGGATGCGAACTGTCAGGCCTGGGTCCCAGCAGGAAAGCGAGCTGGTGGGGGGCTGGGGGGCTGGTTCCAGAGAGGAAAGGAAGCATCCACAGCACAGTCTGGCCTGGGCCACAGCGCCCGCTGTTTGCTGAGCGGGTGTCAAGGGACTTCAAGTCCCAGACGTGTTAAATCTGAGATGACCGTAAGACACCCCAACAGGGATATCAAATGCAGGGCTGGAGAGATGAGCCTGGAAGGGGCGGGTGGGCGGTCACCCCTGGGCAGCCGCGTGAAGTGCCAGCACGGAGGCGCGGAGGGGGGCTGCGCGGAGGGGGGCTGCGCGGAGGGGGGCTGCAACCAGAGCACTGCCCACAGCTCCCTGGCTCCCCAGGTGCTGCATGAGTTTCCTTTTTCACGAAGAAAACTGGGGCGCCCAGAGGTAGGACTGCAGCTCCTGCGGATGAACAAGTGGGAACTCAGACCTGCGCAGCCTCCACCCAATCAGACGCAGGGCGCCAAGGGGGTCCCTGTGCACAGACACAGCATGCCAGAGGGTTCCATCCACATCAGCGTTGATCCCCCAGCCGATCGCAAAGCAGGTGACCACAGGCAGGTGCCAAGGGGGAAGGTCTCACGGAGACCAGGAAGGATCAGTGGACACACAGAAGGGCGGCTTCACAGCAGCCGCAGGCTGAGGGCTTTCACTTTTTTTTGTTGTTTTTGTGGGTTTTTTGTTTTGTTTTTTTTATCATCACCGGAGGACATTTGTGCATTTATATTCAGATACAGAGGGAGGAAGAAACATCAATGTGAGAGAGACACATCAACTGGCTGCCACCCACACAACCCCAACCCGGTTGGGGGACAAACTGCAACTGAGGTTCATGCCCTCAGCCAGGCCGAACCCAGGACTCTCTGGTCGCCGGCCTACGCTCTAACCGCGGAGCCAAACTGGCCGGGGTGGCTTTCATGTTTCTAAAGGGTAACACCTTAGGTGTTCATTTAAGTATCTACATAGCACCCCGAGTTTGCCTGCTGGCCACAGGCCTGAAGTGTTTCTTCTCTGGCTCCGTAAGGAAAACGACCCACGTATTTCAGTTGGGGCGGCAGGCGATGGACAGCGGGGAAGCCACCTCGAAGAGAGGCAGAGGACAAGACGACAATGGGGAAAAGCTGGGCTGAGGCACTGGAACCAGACTGCACTCAGCCACAGGGCACGGGACCCTGAAGGGACGGCTCCTCTTTCTGCCGCACAAGGCTGCCAGAGCTGGGCAGCGGCCCCAGGACCCAGGCTGGGCCTCAGCACTGGGCTCCGCCTCTGCTCTCCACTGTCCCCGCGCATCCTGGACGCTGTGTCCACAGCGCCGAACCTGGCTGTCCTGTCTGCGGGAGGTGCGGGCGATGAGCGGGGCAGGTGCCAGCCCTGCTCCCCCTTTCAAGGAGCACCATCCAGAAACCCACTCCCCTCCTTGGCCAGGCCCACCCCTGACAGCGAGGGGCCAGGGAAGGTAAACCACCAATCTGGGCAGCAACTGCCCGGGGGTCTGGGCTGCTGCTAGGAAGGAAGCCGGGACAACGGTGTGGGGCCGCGACCCTCGGTGCCCACACAAGTGTCAAGGTCAGTCGGAGCGTCACAGAAAGGATACTAGGGCACGCTGTGGCAATGCTTCCTTTGTCACCAGCACAACTCACTGCGCAGTTCCTCAGAGAGATGTTCCTCAGCTCACTCAGCTGGCTGCAGGAAACACAGAGTTCACGTGTACACAAACGGCGGGGCTTGCCACTGGCCCTTTAAAAAACTAAAAAGCATTTCAGACATATAACAAGGTACCAAAATTAACAAGTACCAGTACCCACCACCCAACTGAAGAAACAAAGCATTATACTGCCCTGGCTGGTTTGGCTCAGCGGTTAGAGCGTCGGCCCATGGACCAGGGAGTCCCGGGTTCAGTTCCCGCTAAGGGCATGTACCTCCGTTGCAGTTTGTCCCGGGCCCAGTTGGGGTCATGTGGGTGGCAACCAGTCCATGTGTCTCTCTCACTCGATGTTTCTCTCTCTCTCTTCCTCCCTCTCTCCCTCCAGCTCTATCTGAAGATGAATGCAAAAGTGTCCTCGGGTGAGGATAAAAAAAAAAAGGAAAGAAACAAAGTATCACTGAAAAGAAGAAACAAAGCATTGCAAACCTTACAAAGGCCACCGAAGTGCTTTGTCCTTCCAGAGACACACCCGCCCCTCCACACGCTCCACTCGGTGTTGAATCTGAAGCGCTTCCTAGTTCCCCTATATAGCTCACACCCTTCAAGTCAGACCATTTTGTATGCTGTGCAACTTGAGAGAGAGGGAATCCCACTGTAGGTATGCTCCTGCAGAATCCGTTCTCCATCAACAGTGTGTTGTTCAGCAGGCATTTAGCTGTATCAACAGTTTTCACTCTGAATGACCACGCTCATTTATTTATGTCTCTGCTGGCACTCAGACTCCCCCAGAAGCACCGGAGCACACCCCTGCGCGTACCTGGCGTCTCCCTGGGGACTCACCCTGGAGCGTGTTTGGGTTGCAGCTTACCAGATGCTCTTGGGAGCCAGTGTCCATGTCGAGAATCTGTGCTTTCTACTTGGTAACAGAGCCCCTGTGCTAGTGCCCAATACGGCCTAGAACACAGAATCTGGAGCCAGGCCACCTGGGTTCAAACTCCAAGTCTGCCAGTTCCCTTGCCTCAGATTCCACGCCTGCCCAATGCTATGATGCCCACTCATGTTCACAGCAGCACCACTCACAATAGCCAGAGGGTGGAAGCAACCCAAGTGCCCTCAGTGGATGAGTGGACACACAGTGTGGTCCATCCACACAACGAAAGAAGACTGTTCTGGCACCTGTGACAGCACGAGTGAGGCGGGAGGTCACTGTGCTCAGTGGAGTAAGCCAGGCACATAGGGACAAACACTGCGTGATTCCTCTTGTACTAGATCCCTGGAGGAGTCAAACTCAGGGAGACAGAAAGTAGAATGGTGGGTGCCAGGGGCTCGGAGCGGGCGTGGAGTTAGTGTTCACTGGGTGTGGCACTTCAGTGTTCAGATGAAACGGTTCTGAGGATGAATGGGAATGACGGCAGCACAACAGTGTGGTTGTACTAACACCACCGAGCTGTGCACTTTAAAATGGTTCAGATGGCCCTGGCCGATTTGGCTCAGCGGTTAGAGCGTCGACCTGCGGTCCTGAGAGACCCGGGTTCGGTTCCCGCTAAGGGCACGTACCTCGGTTGCAGTTTGTCCCCGGCCCTGGTCGGTCGTGCGGGTGGCAGCCACTCGATGTGTCCCTTTCACATCGATGTTTCTCTCTCTCTCTCTCTCTCTCTCTGTTCCTCTCTCTCCCTCCCACTCTACCTGAACAAAAAAATGGAAAAATGTCCTCGGGTGAGGATAAAAAAAAAAAAAAACAAAAATAAATAAATAAATAAAATGGTTCAGATGGGTCGCCCTGGCTGGTTTGGCTCAGCAGTTAGAGCGTCAGCCTGCGGTCCAGAGAGACCAGGTTCGGTTCCCGCTAAGGGCACGTACCTCGGTTGCAGTTTGTGCCCAGCCCTGGTTGGGTCGTGCAGGAGGCAACCACTTGATGTGTCCCTTTCATGTTGATGTTTCTCTCTCTCTCCCCCTCCCACTCTGTCTGAACAAAAAATGAAAAAATGTCCTCAGGTGAGGATAAGAAAAGATAAATAAATTAAAATAAAATAAAATGGTTCACATGGGCCTGTCCAGTGTGGCTCAGTGGTTGAGCACCATCCCCTGGACTGAGAGGTCCCAGTTCAATGCCCAGGTTGATGGCTCAATCCCCAGTAGGGGGCGTGCAGGAGGCAGCTGATCGATGTTTCACATCAATGTTTCTATCACTCTCTTCCTTCCCCTCTCTAAAAAATCAGTAAAAATGTATTTTTAAAAAAATGTTTTCTTTATTGATATTAGAGAGAGAGGAAGGGAGAGGGAGAGAGAGATAGAAACATTGATGAAAGACAACATCGATTGGCCGCCACCTGCATGCCCCCCACTGGGAATTGGGCCCACAACCTGGGCATGTGCCCTGACTGGGAATCGAACCAATGACCTCTTAGTGCATGGGTCAATGCTCAACCACTGAGCCACACAGGCTGGGCAATAAAAACGTATTTTTTAAAAAAATAAAATTTTGTGTTATGTGCATTTTACAATTTTTAAAAATGCTATGATAATTCAATAAGTTAGTATTTGTGAAACTCTTAAAATACTGTGTGACGCACAGTAAGTTATTTTGTAAGCACTTATATCAGTAAACATCAAACTGGCACCCTGTAGAAACAGAGATAACGAGCAAGGCACGAGCTATTCCAGTGTCAGAAACCGGGGCCAGGCAGCTGCAGCGAAGCTCCAGGCAGAGGCTCCCAAACCTCCTCAGTTCGTGGGGCCCTTGGTGTTTCAGTCATTTTTTCACAGTGACCCAAGGCCAAAATAACAAAAAGCCTAACCATTCCATTTAGTAAGTACTTAAGGCCAAACAACTTAGTAAGTATGTGTGTCCTAGCAACTCCGTGTCTGTGGGCACCGAACACATGACTTCCCAACCTGGGCACCAGCCTGCTGCCACCACCTGCACTTCCTGCTCCAGGACGAGTCTCAGGAGATGCTTGCTCTTCAGCACAGCCACCGACCGCCAAAAGCCCAACTTTGCAGGAATAGGATAGGAAGAAATGATAGAAAGAGCATGAAATTAACCCAGCTCAAACTAGACATCTGCAGTGTCCAGCAGATGTCACTGTTTCTCTCTACAATTCAACATACCCTGCAGTGCACAAGTGGTCCACTGCAGTGCCAGGAGCACCAGGCACAAACTTAGAGACTACAGTCTCAGTGCAGATGTCACCCCAGAGCCATGGCCATCGCCACAAGGCATCACACACATGGTTTCCATTTGGTTTTAATTCCTTTATCGTAAGTCTTTTCTTAGAGCTACATCAGCTGAATATTACCAGGAGCTAACACATGGAGTAGAGGGTCCATCCCTAATGATGAGGACGACCATCCTCTGTACCAGCTCACTTGTTCCTCATAGCTGCTCCAAGAGCTCAGGAACCTCTGCTCTGACTTGTGTCAGCTGGGAAGCGGCTTTGCTGACACCTGGACCCAGCTGACTTACTTAAATGTTGGGTCCCTTCCAAGAATTAACTAGCTAATTATTGAACACAGTAATATTCAAGTAGTAGGGTCATTCACCAGAAAAATTCATGAATTAGGCAGTTATTCATAAACTAGGGAAGGACAATGTGTTTGCAATTTGTTGCTAGTCACTGAAAGAGATTAACCAATAAGGGGTAAAAAAGTGCCTCTTTTGGAGTAAAAGATACTTAAATATTTACATCTTAAATGGAAAAAATAAAGCAATGAACTCTAACCCTAAGAAACAGAACAAAGAGCAAAAACCATTCATGACAATTATCTCTGACTTCTTTTGTTCAATTTATATTTTCTAAATTCTCAACAATGTATATTGTTTTGTAATTAATAATCAAGTTGTCATTTTATTTTTATTTTCTTCAATATGTTTTTATTGATTTTAGAGGGAGAGGAAGAAAAAGAGAGAAACATCAGTGTGAGAGAGAAACATCAAGACAGGGATCAAACCTGCAACCCAGGTATGTACCTTGACCAAGAATCAAACCGCGACCTTTAGGTGGGGACGACGCTCAACCAACCGAGCCACACTGGCCAGGGCAAGTTGTTGCCATTTTGAAATCTTGTTTTATTGATTTTTTTTTTTTTTAATGCTGGTCATCTATACTGAAAAGCAGAGCTACGGAAAAATGAATTTATCCTTCCACATTGTCCCTATATACACTTTAAATTCTGCATTATGTTAAATCTTTTTTTTTTTTTTTTTTTATCCTCACCCAAGGACATTTTTCCATTTTTTGTTCAGGTAGAGTGGGGGAGAGAGAGAGGAACAGAGAGAGAGAGAGAAATATCGATGTGAAAGGGACACATCGAGTGGCTGCCACCCGCACAACCAACCAGGGCCAGGGACAAACTGCAACCGAAGTACATGCCCTTAGCGGGAACCGAACCCAGGTCTCTCAGGACCGCAGGCCGACGCTCTAACCGCTGAGCCAAACTGGCCAGGGCTGTTAAATCTTAATTACAGAAACAAGAAGGTAACAAAGAACTTGACATTAACAAAACCACAATTTAACTCTTTTATTCTAGAAACAAAGTTAAGACTGCAGGCCTGCACCAAGAAGCTACATGTCCACTCCCCACAGGGGCCATCAGGAGTCACTACTAGGATGCTTCATCTGGGTCAGGCCAAACCGCAGCACTGACCATTGCTAAACCTGAACAACCTGGAAGGTTCTCGTGCTGCTGAGCTTCCGTGTGAACGTCAGCTTCCGCGCTCCCTGACTCAGCTCCAGAATGAGCAGTGGGCCTCTGAAGAGAATCAGTGCAGAGTTTCAGAGAACAGAGGCTGTTCAGACTCAGGAGTTTTCAATGTGTTATTTCATGCCTGTGAGACTGCTACATAATAATTTGGGGCACTTAAAGGAAGAGCCCAGAGTATTCTGACTCAGTAGGTCTGGGATGGGACCCAGGTGATAAGGGTGTGCAGCTACATGGCACAGGCAAAATGCATACTTCTGTCTCCATTTTAGGTATCAACCACCTAGAAATATCACCACAAAATAGAAAAGAACCAAAGTTTCAACCTGATATTGTTGTAACTAGCCCAGTTACTAATTAACAGGAAAGAAGCAAAGCGAAGGCCAAATACATGCATGTCCCGTTAAGTCAGGGTGACATAGGAAAGATACTTGCCTGTCAGTCACACCTGGAAACAGGTCATTGGCCAGAATAGGCGTGGCCACTGCAGCGTGGGAAGATTTGATATTTAAGGCCTGAGCAGAGGAGTTCCTGCTCCTGCTGCTCACACCTGACTCCTGGCTTGCCTCCCGCACTCTGCAATCACCCACACGAACCCACACGAACCCACAGCCATGTGGACCCCACACAATGGACTGACGCACAGGAACTAGCCTGGTGCTACACAAGACCCAGCTCCACCATGGAAGGAAACTCTGGACACTGGTTATGCTTCTATCTCTGCTGAATCCCCAGCTACACCTCTTCCAGGACTGGTTTAAGGAAAATAAACTTTGCAAACTCAGGGATGTGATTCTACTCAAATAAAGCTTTCTATCATATATTATCCTTCCATGGGGGCCTCTGGAAATGCTTATTCCTGCGGCACCCCAAGAACCCCATTCTCACTAGCAACAGAGAAGGGCAACCCATCCTTTTCTCCAATAACAAACCCTGATTACTTAATAGTCAATACAAGATAGTATGGTATAAATATTAATGATGGGCAAATACTAATAATGGGCAAATCAATCTTTTAATTTCAATCTAGAAAAGTCCAAAGCCTGGCCAGTGTGGCTCAGTGGCTGAGCATCGCCCATGCACCAAGAGGTTCCCAATTTGATTCCCGGTCACGGCACACGCCCAGGTTGTGGGACAAATCCCCAGTGGGGGACATGCAGGAGGCGGCCAATCGATATTCTCTCTCATCAATGCTTCTCTCTCTCTCTCCCTTCCTCTCTCTGTAAAAATTAATAAAGAAAAAAATTTTTTTAAAGAAAAAGAAATGTCCAACAACCCCGAGTTAAGTAAGGATTTTAATTTTCTTGATCCTTGAATTCCTGTGATTTCAATTTGCTGTTTGTGCAGAAAACACAGACCGGTCAGGGAGTCAAGTTCTGAGTGCAGACATGAACTTCTTCCTGAACACGAATGGGACCGCAAGTCAGCTTCTCCATGATCAGTTCCACTCACCTCTGCTTCTTTATAACAGAGTCAAAACCAATAGTTTCCACAGGTTTTTTTCCAATTGTGACAATTTCCTTTTTTCCACATTCCTCTGGTCCATCTTCGTAGCGATTCCTCAGTGCAGTGAGAAAGTCCACTCCAAAGCTGACTTTGCTCGGACGAATGAAGGATCCTCCTGTGGGGTGGCTAGAAAGGAGAGAAATGGAACAGTAAATATCCACGGAGGCATTTAAACAGATGATACATGTGAAATTCCTTATAAACTGTCACTGTCACAAATGTAACTATCTGCATTTATAAATGTATTTACAAATATATTAGCAAATAAAAGCAATTATATAATTTTAAAAAGAAAACATATATATTATCCACCAAGAATGGCCATACATGCAGTGTTCTGAAGTATTTCAAAATTTTCTGTATGATGAAAAATAAAACTCAGCATAAAGGGCAAAATAATATACTAAAAAAGTATATAATTGATATGATTATGACTGATCATAAAGGATTGTGAGCTTATGCAAATAAGTAAAATCCCAATAATATTAAACAGACAAAGAATATGGACAGATAATTCACATAAGAGTAAACACAAGTATTAAATCATGAGGGAAAGTTTTATCTTGCTAATGATTAAGAAATGCAAATCCAAATAATGAAACTATTTTCAACAAAACACAAAAAAATGAAGAAAACTTTTAAACCTTAAAGATTGCAAGGTTGGGTTTGTTTTGATTATATCATTAGACTCCTGGGAATTTATCAGCAGGCAATAATTTTAAAATAAAAACAAAACTGCATTTATAAAGATTGCATATAATAACATCTAATTGTAATTGAGGAACTCTAAAAATCATTAAAAATGCCCAGCACAACAGAAAATACCAAGTAAACCAAATAGATAGATTAAAAATTCTAGCTGTGCCCTGGCCAGTGTGGCTCAGTTGGTTGGGCATCGTCCCATATACCGAAAGTTGCTGGTTGGATTCCCGGTTGGGGCACAGGCCCGGGTTCAAGGCTTGCTCCCCCAAAGCTGCCCCAAGGTCAGGAGGCACTCTCACGTCACTGTTTCTCTTTCTCTCTCCCTCCTCCCTTCCTCTCTCTACAAATCAATAATAAAAAATAATAAAAATTCTAGCTGTATTAATAAAATTTCAAAATGTTGAGATTTCTAAAAACTGAACCAAATTATACATGATACAACTACAGAATCGTATTTGCAGATGAATAATGAGTGGATAAGAACTGAAAACATTTGGACTTCCGGTCAGGATGGTGGGTAGGTAAACACAGTATCGCGTCCTCCCACAACCACATCAAAGTTACAACTAAACTAAAAAACAACCATCATTCAAAACCACATGAAATCGAGCTGAATGGAAGTCCTACGACTACAGAATTAAAGCAGCAGCCACATCCAGACTGGTAGGAGGGGCGGAGGCGGACGGGCTGGCCCCACACCCACGTGTGGTGGATAAAAATCAGGAGGACACCTGGGCTGGGAAGGTCCTCCCTGAGGACTGAGGGGTCCCCGTCCCACACCAGGCGCCCCACTCAGGGTTCCAGTGCCAGGAAGAGAATCCCCATTACTTCTGGATGTAAAACCAGCGGGAACTGAGGCTCAGGGAGGTGAGGCTGCTGGAGCCCCAGGCAGCTCCTCTTAAAGGGCCCACACATGGACTTATCAGACTCACTCCCTCTAAGCTTGGAGGGGAGGCAGCTCGAGGGGCACCAGAGATGCTACAGGGAAGAACTGAGCTGTTTGGCACTGGAGCAAGGGCTGGAGAGGGGGCTTTCTCCAGGACAAACGTGCTGTCAGAGGCCTTTGATCCTTTGGTGAGCCCTTTCCTGGGGTGGCAGACAGCCACCATATCAGGGACTCCAGCAACCTGGCTCACACTGGTAGCCCCGCCCTGGTGATTCCCTGAGGCCCGGCCCCACCCAACTTTCAGGCCCACCCAAACTGTTGCCAGTTGCTTAACCATAACATTGGCCTGTCTTGAATCCTGCTTCAGGTTTTCCTAAATTCTTTCAAACAAGCAGCATCTGGTCTCAGCTAGTCCCATACCTCTCGTTAAGTAATACATAGAAATGATCACAGGGAGGCAGCCAAAATGAGGAGACAAAGAGACAGGTCCCAAATGAAAGAATAGAAAAAATCCCCAGGAAAAGAACTAAGGAAAATGGAGACAAGCAACCTAACAAATATTGAGTTCAAAATACTGCTTATAAGAATGCTCAATAAACTTAGTAAGAACCTCAGCAAACTTAGTGAGGGCCTCAAGAGCATAAAAAAGGACCAGTCAGAAATGAAGGAGGCATTAACTGAAATAAAGAATGATTTGCACATATTCAATAGTAGAGTAGGTAAAGCCAAGGAACAAACTATCGTTTTGGATTCTAAGGAAGTAAAAAACACCCCATCAGAACAGGAAAAAGAAAAAAGAATCCAAAAAAATGAGGATAGTATTAGGAGCCTCTGGGACAACTTCAAGCGTGCCAACATTCGCATCTTGCGGGTGCCAGAAGGAGAAGAGAGAGAACAAGAAATCGAAAACCTATTTGAAACAATAATAGCAGAAAACATCCCTAACTTGGTGAAGGAAACAGACATACAAGTCCAGGAAGCACAGAGAGTCCCAAACATGATGAGCCCCAAGAGGCCCACACCAAGACACATCATCATCAAAATACAAAAGGTTCAAGACAAAGAGAGAATCTTAAAAGCACCAAGAGAAAAGCAGATAATTACCTACAAGGGAGTTCCCATAAGACTGTCAGCTGATTTCTCAAAAGAAACTTTGCAGGCCAGAAGAGAGTGGCAAGAAATATTGAGTGATGAAAAGCAACAACCTACAACCGAGATTACTCTATCCTGCAAAGCTGTCATTTAGAATCGATGGCCATAGAAATAGTTTCCCAGACAAGAAGAAGTTAAAGGAGATCATCACCACCAAACCATTATTATATGAAATGATGAAGGGTCTTTTTGAAGAAAAAGATAAAATATATGAAGAAACAAAATGGCAATGAATACATATCTATCAACAATAGAATCTACAAACAAAATGAACAGGCAGAACAGAAACATTCTCATAGATACAGAGAACATTTTGATGGTTGAAAGATGGGAGGGGGTTTGGGGAAATGGGTGAAAAAGGTGAAGGGATTAAGAAGTACAAATTGGTTGCTAGACAAACCTCAAAGGGAAGGGGGTTGAGGGGTGGGAAGAAATAAACCAAAGAACTTATATGCATAACCAATGGACACAGACAACAGTGTGGGGAAAGGCAGGAGGGGGGTGGGAGTGGGGAGGAGGGAGTCAATGGGGGAAAAATGAGGAACATCTGTAATACATTCAACAATATAGATCAAAAAATAAAAATAAAAAATAAAATAAAATCAATGAAGAAAAAAAATTTTTTTTAAAGATAGAGGGTAGCCCAGCCAGTATGACTCAGTGGATTGAGGGTCATCCCATGGACTGAGAGGTCCCAGTTTGATTCCCGGTCAGGGCACATGCCCGGGTTGTGGGCTCAATCCCCTATAGGGGGTGTGCAGGAGGCAACCAACTGATGTTTCTCTCTCACGTCAATATTTCTCTCCCTTCCTCTCTCTAAAAAAAAACATATTTTTTTTTTAAAAACCACAGGGAAGGAGTGCCCGGCTAGCTCAATCGATAGAGCATGAGACTCTGAAAAAACCACAGGGTAGCTGATTAAATAAGAAAATAAGACCTATATACTTGCTGTCTACAAGAGATCCACCTCATAACAAAAGACTCACGGGATGAAAGTGAAGAGATGAGAAATAATTTTCCAGGGAAATAAAAACAAACAAACAAACAGGCTGATGTAGCAATACTCATATCTGACAAGATAGACTTCAAAATGAAAGCCATAATAAGAGACAAAGTTTGTCCCCGGCCCTGGTTGGCCACACGTGTGATAGCCACTCGATGTGTCCCTTTCACGTCGATGTTTCTCTCTCTCTCTCTCACACTTTATCTGAACCAAAAATGGAGAAAGGTCCTCGGGTGAGGATAAAAAAAAAGAGAGAGAGAGGGAGAGACAAAGAAGGTCACCACATAATATTAAAATGATCAATCCAACAAGAGGATATAACCCTAATAAACATATATACACCAAATATAGGAGCACCTAAAAGGAAACTTCTGGAGGAATTCAAGGGAGAAATAAACAGTAATACAATCATAATACGGGATCTTAACAACCCTCTGATATCACTGGATATATCTTCTAGACAAAAAATTAATAAAGAAACAGAGACTCTTAACAATGATCTAGATCAGCTGAATTTAATTAACATTTACAGAACAATTTACCCCAAAGAGGCACAACATACATTCTTCTCAAGTGCATTCAGTTCATTCTCAAAAATAGACCACATGTTAGGACACAAATGAAGTCTCTAAAACTTCAAGAAGATTGAATTCATATCAAGCATATACTTGGATCACAATGGAATGAAACTAGAAATCAATTACAATAAAAACATACAAAAACATTAGAAAACATGGAGGCTACATAGCATGTTATTAAACAATGAGACAAACGAAACCAAGAAAGAAACAAAAACGTCCTGGAAACTAATGAAAATTAACATGCAACTCAAAATCTATGGCACACAGCAAAAGCAGTCCTGAGAGAGAAGTTCATAGCACTACAGGACTATTACAAGAAGCAAGAAAAATTTCTAATAGACTGTGTAACCCTACACCTTAAAGATTTAGAAAGAGAACAAAAAGAAAAACCCAGAGATTCCAAAATGGCGGTAGAGTGAATGGAAGCTACACAGACCATCTCCCAGGACCAGACTGGAATTACAACTAAAATAAAGACAAATCGTAGGGGAAAAGCAACAGAAAAGCAGCTTGCGAGGATCATATAACGAGGGACACTGATTCAATCCGGGTAGGATTGCGGACGCACAAGAGGGGGGCTGGGAGTCCACGGACAGCAGTGGACTTAGCTGTGAGCAGCGCTGTCAGGGTTACATTCCCAAGCAGCTCCACAGCGCAGAGCTGGGACAGACGCTAAAATAGCCACAGCCACTCATCTTGGGCTCCAGCAGAGGGAGGGCAGACTGGACTGGAACTGTGTGGGTACACTCGGGATCTGGAGAGCAATCAGAGCTTTTGCTGAGTTGCAGCCACGCAGGACGGT